TCGAAGCCTGTTTACAGTCTTGTATAGTGCTGCATATTTGGGGGGGGGAGTGTAAAGCCTTTTATGGCTCCAGAGAGAGCTGTGTGACATCTGATAAACTGCATGAACACCACCAGTTTGAAAATGGACTAAAGTTATAAAGAAGTGAGCTACAGGATCCTTGCAGCCAGATCTGTATCTCTGCCTGTGAGTAGACGCTCGAGGACACATTAGACACTACTATAAGACACAAATCTTGATGAGGAAAAAGAATGCATGTGATACAAAAGACAAAGTTTTTGCTTCTGGGGCTTCTATGTAGATTTAATCTCACAGGACTGCAATGCTCAATAAGTACTTTCAAGAATCTTTACAAAAAGATTTAACTAGGCATAAAGTTTATGTTAAACTGGTGAATGCACGTATAGATTTATAGATCAAACTGTGATTAGTTGATTAATTCTTTCCAGGTTTCTTCTGACCACTTTAAAGGAAAACGGTATTCTCTGAGCTGCTGTGAGTGGACACACAGCCAATTTATAGTGAGACTTATGCACTGTATCTGAATTTGAAATGTTTGCTAAGAGAATTTATGGGAACTGGAGAAAAAAAAAAAAAAGCTTGAACACTTATTAGCGCTCTTAATTCAGCTTGTAGGAATGTAGTTGGCTCCAGTCATGTTTAGTCACACCTTCTGTTTAGATCAATTCTTCCTTTAATGCCTCCTATGTGATCCAACAATTTACAGATAGTTTAAGAAAAACGTCCTCTTCCTCACACATTGACTCAGGGGACACAACAGAATTTGGATTAAGGTCAGTGCAGCTTTGTTGTGGATAATATGTGAGCTTTTGTGCAGTCAGCATGAAACTTTCAAAGAAATCTGAGTCAGAAGAGTGCAGAGTAATAACGGACAATAAGAGAAAAAATATATTCTGTATTTGTCCATTTTGAAAAGATTGTGAAGTGTTGGGTGGAGACAAAGTAGCCACTGAGTCATACAGATCAATTTTACACTGCATTTATGAATAGTTTAAATTACAAAGCAGCACAAGTTCTTTGTACACACACACACACACACACACATAAGCACACGGCTCTGCTTTCCTGAAACTGACTAAAAAAAAGCGACAAGCTTTTGAGAGCAAATGATAAAAATGGAGGACATCAAAATTAAATGATGAATCCATTATTGAACAGGTTGCATGTGAAAAGATGAGAGAGTGGAGATGAAAGTGAATGGCTGATAGAAGAGTGAGAGGAACCCCAGGAGGTGGGAACTGCTCCTGTGTTTTCACTGTTACAGCTCAGACATAAATTGACTTACACGTAGCACCAAAGTCACACAATGCTGCCTTTTGTTTGTTCATGCATTTAAAACTAATGTTTGAATGCTAATGGCTTTTTTCAGTGCTTATAGAAATGTTCAAAACCCAAGCTGTCAATTATTTTTTCCTCCTTGATAGTAACTTGTCAAGTATCTCTTCACACTTTCTCCTCATCCACTAACCAACACAACCGACTTCAAAGCCAGCAGAGTTGCACATTACTTCCTATTAGTCACGTAGACTGCAGACCTGCAGAGCTTTAGCGCACCAGCTGGCAGGATGGAAAGACTTTACAAGTGTCAGGAAAGGTTGCAAGTGCATCTCATGTCAACTTTATTTATGGTGATACAGAACTTCATTACAGAAATTTGCCAGATGGCAGCTCTTGTACAATTTCTCGTAGAACAAATGGATATTTATGAAATGCAGTTTTTCTCTTTCAGAAATCTAATTATGATGCACGGGAATGTGCACAAGTTTGAACCTTTTTTTTTTTTTACAATGCGGATGCTTGAATTGTTTACATTTATTCAGTTAACCTCAAATAAAGTGCAAAAAAGAGAAAAAATCTAAATCAAATCAATGTCAATCTTTGCCTCTAAAACAGTACCAGTTCTCCTTTGTACAGTGGTTGCTTAAGGTACTTGGCAGGTTAGCTGTTTCAGGGATTTTCTGTGAATTGATTCTGTCTCGGTGTTTTCTGTCTCCTCGTGTAATCCCAGACTGACTCCATAATGTCAAGATCAGGGCTCTGTAGGGGCAACAACATCTGTTGCAGGACTCCTTGTTGTTTTTGCATCTGAAGATAGTTCTCTGTGGTTCTGGCTGTATGCTTGGGGTCATTGTCATGCTTCAAAATTAATTTGGGCTCAGTCAGACACCTCTTTTTTTGGTGTTGTGTCATGGTTACAAATCCAAACGTCTGAAGTGTCAACAACTTTTGCACAGCGCTGTATGTTTCCTCAGTAGGGTCAGTGTTGTTTCATCCACATTCTTATCAACTGATACACAGGTTGGACAAAAACGAATCCCAAAGTAAATCTCAAAGCACCGAGACAGAGAGAGGCTGGAAGATTTGTTTCCATGGCAACTATGCGGCAAGCCTCGCATGGCTTCTCGGCATGTGCAAGTGTGTTTGAGTCTCTGAATATGCATACATTTTTTGCAAAAACTGACACAGATATAATAATTAAAAACATGTTTTGTTTGTCAGCACTTTAAAACTTAAATGTGACTCCACTTAGTCTTGTATCTTGTCAGAGTGATAATATCTGAAATAACATTTATCAGGCAGAGGACAGTTAAGCATCACTCTGTTGCCAGCATCTACTCATTTACATTAAAAACACCACATAATTATATATATAATCTCATCAAAATGTCTTGCTCATTTACATAAGCTGCTTTCGACAAACATCCACTTTTGTTGCTGCCCACAATAATAATGTAATTTAGCCCATTAAAAATGCCACCTTCTTCATGCAAAGGCATGAAAATGACAAGCATTTGATTGCAGATGTGCACCTGGTCTCTTCGGAAAAGTAACTCTGGAGTTGACTGTCATACTTTCAGACTTGTCAAAGTGATACTGCACCAGATTTATAAAGATAAAAAGATGCAAAAAGAAAAATGCAAAAAAGCTTCTTCTTGTCCACTGTTTTTCCCGCACACAGACAGAATTATAACTACAGTGAATGTTTTCTTGTGACTCTGAGTGAGGATTCACCAGCTGCTTCATGTTTAAAGCCTCTGAGGAAATGTGATTTGTAAATTTGCCACTTTAAAGGTGACACTCATAGTTTTCTTCCCCCAGCAAATTGTCGCCCATCTCTGCAATTCGTTTAGCTCTACGGAGCTTTATAAGGTCTTTCAGCTTGTTGATAGTTATTGATATCGCTTTTACGATCTGCGACTTTACTGTTTCGACCACTCTCATGAGTGTAATTTTCAGCCACAGCAGGCGGTTGTTTTCAGCAAAGAGACCTTAAAAACTTTACCCTACGTGCCCTGCATCAAGACAGATAAAGTTAGTGGTGAACATAATGGAGCATTTCAAAGCTGAAGTTTTATTGGACTTACATTCAGCAGGTGGCCAGAACAAACACTGAATGTTATGTTGTTTTATATCTGTGACACTGAATGTGTCACAGACTTTAAAGGAGTATAAGGTTTTATTTAAACCTTCTCACACTGCACCAAGGTGTCCAAAAATCCAACTAACGTTGCTGTTTTTAATAATAGTAATATATAACAGCTTGTGACCTATATTTTAAGTCATGCTTTTTTATGTAAGGTAGACTATTATGTACTATTTAAATTAAAACTGAGAATAGGTTGACACTTGAGGACTGCACATGAATAATTTTCGCCGTAGGGTGCCTGCATTATTGGTCAGCTAATTACTGGGATGATCGGATAGCTGCCAAATGTCTACAGTCCTTTAGTGTGACGGTTTTGTACCATGAATACTGAGCAGGAAGTTGCTCTGGATATGAAAGTCTGCCAAATGCTGTGAAGGCTGATGTAACTCTGGTGTGTGTTTGTTCCAGTTGCAGCCATATTCGCACAATCTTTCTCATTATAGTCTTAAGTACAGAAGGCTGATAATATAAAAGCTCCTTGGGGTCTTTTTAACTGTTACATAATGAATAACATTTGTGGGATGCTATGCTCCAACAGGCGCTGAATGGGAAGACATGAAATATTTACGTCCATGCTACATGATTTCATCACTTCTGCATATTTACCTACCTCCTCATGTCGGCTGAAGATTACAGCGAGCACTATTTTCTCTCTCTTTGCATCCAATTGTTTAATTTTTAATTTTCTTTATCTCAGTTTTTAGCACAATTGCTTGTCATAATTCCATCAGTGTCTAAATGTGCAGCTAGAGTCGAAGAGAAATCTCTTTTTTGGAAAACAGTCATTCCCCTCTATCTGTTTTTTTTTTTTTTTTTTTTTTAAAGGTTTTTCTCATTCTCATCCATCTTCTCCACCGCTCATTCATTCTTGTTGGCTGCAAAGCATTTCTGCTTTTATGAAATGTTCTTGAAATTTCCTGTGACCTTGCTAAAGCATGGATTGTAACACCCAAATTTATTATACATTCATATTCACTGGGTTTGGGTGCAGATGAGATGTAATGTGTAAAAATCAGGTTCTATGCAAGTAACACATTCTGTTTCAACAGACTGTATTTTTGTTGTCGTGTCTCATTCTCGTTCTTTCTTCCTTTTTTTTTTGTATTTCTGACAAAACAGTGAGCCGCCATGCCGCAAGCTATGAGTCCTCCACGTGTAGTCGGGATGCGAGATTGATGGTGTGACAGCAAAGGCCGTCGTCGAGCTTCAGCCATCGTTCAGTCCCTGATCTACCTCTGCAATCAAAGTCACACATAAAGACAGTTTTGGTATAGCAGAGCCTCCACAAGCTCAGCAATGGGAAGACACACATTTCAGTTCAGTGTTTCTGTCTGAAGCCGCTGCAGAAGTCTGTCACCAATGTAATCCCTCTACCACGTTTCGAATGATGACACTGAACCATCTGTCCTACATTTACAATTTGCTCACACACCTTGAAACTGTTCAAACCACGACTTTACACACATCTCTGGTCCAAATGATTCATCCTGCATCCCCATAACACACTCTTTCCTCACCTTGTCTGAATCAGCCCCTGCGACCTGTGAGGATTATGAGGCCGGCTTTAGTGCTCCTTCAGTCACATTGTCTCTTGTGTGTGTTTGGTGCTGTGGTTGTGCCCGTTGTCCTGGGCTCACTACCTCCTGCACTGCCATGGCACGTCTCCTGCCCGGTCAGGTGTGTGTGTCAGATCAAGCCATGGTTCTCCCCTGATTCTGTGTACCACGAAGCTCCCACCGTGGACTGCAATGACCTGCTGTTGACTAAGCTCCCCTTACCCATACCCCCAAACACACACACCCTGCGCCTGCAGAGCAACCTGCTGTCAGTGCTGGACACTGCAGTGCTGCATGGACTCCCCAACCTCACCGACCTCGACCTCTCCCAGAATCGCTTCAGTCATGTCAGGACAGTAACCCAGAGCTCTTCCCTGCCCTCCCTGCTGTCCCTACACCTGGAGGAAAACCATCTCAGCCACCTCCCTGAGGATTCTTTCTCATCACTGCCAGCTTTGCAGGAGCTCTTTCTCAGCCACAACAATTTACATTCGATAGCACCTGGAGCCTTCATTGGGCTGGACTCCTTACTCCGTCTCCATATTAACAACAACAGGCTCACCACTGTTGACCCACGGTGGTTCAGGGCTTTGCCTCACTTGGAAGTTCTTATGCTTGGGGGCAACCCTGTGGAGGCCCTGCCTGAACGAGGCTTCATTGCCCTAAAATCCCTCCGAAGTCTTGTCCTTGGTGGTATGGGTCTGAGGGGTTTGGCTGAAAAAGCGCTGGAAGGGCTGGAGGACCTAGAGAGCCTCTCATTCTACGACAACCTTCTGACCAAAGTCCCAACTCAGGCCCTGAGAAGAGTGCCAGGATTGAAGTTCCTTGACCTCAACAAGAACCGGATCAAACTGATAGAGACAGGAGACTTCCAAGATATGATCCACCTGAAAGAGCTTGGTCTGAACAACATGGAGGAGCTGGTGTCCATTGAGAGAGCCGCCCTGGAGAACCTTCCAGAGCTCACCAAGCTCGAGATCACCAACAACCCACGTCTATCCTACATTCATCCCCAGGCTTTCCTCCAGCTGAGCAGGTTGGAGAGTCTAATGCTCAACTCCAACTCTCTCAGCGCCCTGCACCAGCACATCATGCTCTCCCTGCCGAGTCTTCAGGAGGTCAGCTTACACTCCAACCCACTGCGATGTGACTGCCTGTTTCACTGGGCCGCCAAGGAGACCTCCCATCCTCACATTGAGAAAAGCGTGCAGACAGATGCACAAACAGCCCGGGTGGTGCGTTTCATACAACCCCAGGCAACCGTATGTTCTGAACCTCCAGAACTGAGAGCTCGGAGGGTGAGAGATGTGACCTCAGGAGAGATGTCGGCCTCCTGCCTCCCCATGATTCCTGCCAGCTCCCTGCCCTCCTATGTAGGGGTGCGAGAAGGAGGAAAACTGGTTTTGCACTGCCGAGCTCTTGCAGATCCACCGCCTGAACTGTACTGGGTGACCCCCTCTGGCCTGAAACTTAGTCCTCCATCCAAAGGGGCACCGGTTCCCACACCCTGCAAGAGCCCGACATCTTCCGATGGATTCAACCACACGTCTCCCTCCAGTGTTCCAGATGATGCTGCCTGTCAACCCTTCAAACACTACCAGGTACTGCCTGAGGGAACTCTGGAGATCAGCAAGATCACCCCCAGAGAGGCAGGATTGTATACTTGTGTGGCAGAGAATGCACTAGGAGCAGATACACGCAGTGTTACTGTGGGCGTGCACGACAGAATGAAAAAAAGGAAGAGGGGGGCGGCTGCCAATCTGAAGAAATTTTTACAATTTAGAGCGGATGCCAGGTTGGAGGTGAGAGAAGTCGGAGAACACTTTGCTATTCTTTCCTGGCAGAGCGGGCACAACCTTCCCTCCACCCGCCTATCCTGGCAGGCCATATACTCCAACGCCCACACACCCACGTACACCACACGCATCCTGGCTGGCACGCAGAGCTTCAACCTGACTCACCTGCAGGCAGAGACATTTTACAGAGTGTGTCTGCATTTAGGGAGCAGTGAGGTCGCCAAGCATGCCAGCAGGAGACTAGGAGGGAGCAAAAAGCCCCAGTGTGTTTCATTCAGGACGAAGGATGTCCCAGAGCCTCAGCCCAGCCTGCAGCTCAACCCACAGCTGACCTCCACAGCAGTCACACTACTGCTCCTCGCGCTCATACTGCTGCTGGCAGGCCAGGGCTGGGACACCGAGCCACGCGAAGGGGCAGGAAAGCATCTCAATACCCTCCATCAGGATATCCAGTGTCCCAAGGCTGTGATCATCAATCAAAAGACAAAAGGAAGCGACAGACATGAGCCAAATCTGAGTGAGAAACTGCTACTACATCAGGACTGCTGAGATGATTGTGCACATTCAAATGCTAGACACTGACACACACACACACACACACACACACACACGTACATACAAAATGTCAAATATACACTTTGTTAATCGCAACAAGAAGAGGGGAATCGTAGACGACAGCAGTGGTGTAGAAAGAGATTTGTATTTATTTTATATACAGTATAAAGTATATATTGACATTGTTTCTGTGTTAAGATGTGTTGTACAGAATGCCTAACCCCTAACCAGGGAAATAAAACTGGACAATCATACTCCTGCTGCACAGTGAGTGAACACAGGAGAAACAACTGAGCTGCCGTTGACCACTGGACTGAAACTAAAGAGAACCTGAGTCAATCCAGGGACAGATATTTACAGAGGTGAGCAGCTCAGACCTCCAGGGTTTTGTCATGTTTACTGTCTACATGTTCCACAGACTGAACCATACTTTCTCCAAGCAGATGAAAATCTGCCTTAAGACTGATACTGAATGAAACTTCTGCTTGTTTGGACTCTGTAAGTCAAAGTGATTGATGTAAACAACCCCTTTGCTTAGCTTTCAGTATGCTGGACTGGGTTGTCCATCTTGCAGAACATACACAGTATTCTCATCCAGATTCCCCCACCTAACGTCCCACATTCTGTTTCAAAAATAAAAGTGATCTTAAAGTGATTGTGTTAAATTCTATTTTGAGCTATATACAATACAATAAAATCTTTTTCATTTCCTCAGTTTAACTGTTTATTTCCATTTTGGCACCTGCAAACTAAACATAGAAATACTGAAAATATTTTAATGTATATCAACGTATGAACCAAGCCCTCTGCAGAGAAATCCCATATTACTGGTTCGTCTGCAGGTACATCTCTTTCCTTACCTGTATGCAATTATTGTTGCTCCGCAGTGTGGGTAAGTAAGATAATAGCTCAGGATATCTGAGTAAGTGACTCAGTAAACAGGACACAGTGTGTCCCCTGCTGGATAAGACATGGAACTGAGCAAGAGGCTTTAACAAGGGTAAAAGACAGGTTTCTACATTTCTTCAAGACTGTCTTGTAAAATACTGACATTTCCACATGTACACTGGTCACTATAATAACCTTCCTCTTAGTACTGAAAGTGAAGATCCCTTGCTTGCGTGATTACAATGTAAGGTACAGGAGACGTGTAGACACGGCTTCCAAAGGTCAGTCACAGATAATATAAGCTTTCAGCAGTCTGAGTGAGTCGAACCAAGTTGTTAAGCTTACAAATTTACAATCTTTTCCCTATCAAAGTCCCTCTTTGTGTTTCCACAAACAGTGTTTTCATGCTGAGCAGTTTTTGCTCTACAAAGACTTCACTAATTTGAGCCATTGATTTGTCTGAGTCAAACTGATAACGCCTAATAGCTTCAGCTGAACTTGAGGATTAAGTTTCGCACCGAACAAACAAGGTCAAAGAATATTGCATCTTGCTTCTTAATACTGACTTCCAGTAGGAATACCTTTAGGGCCAGAGGAATGTTTACGTCAACCCACATCGTTTTCAGTACAGATGTAGCTGCTCTAGTTATTACTACATTATTACACTTCCATTACATATCTGAATCTACCTCAAAATTACAGTAAGTGCGCAAAGAAAATGATTGACGGGTCCTTTAATGAGGCAAATGTCAGTAGAAACACACTTTAAACAGTAGTTAGACTTTGTATTTATTCACACAAAACATAATACATTTCTTCAATAAGGCAACACAATACTGTATATACATACAATGATCTATATGTATACTATATTTAAATTTTTTTGTCATTCTGTCATTTTATCTATCACTACCAAGTGTAAATAAATAGTTTAGCAAGTCATGTAAAAGAGTGCCAGATGCAAAAACTTCAAGTCATACTGTTCGTACATCCAACGCAGGAATGCTCACTGTAATATATTGTGATTACTGATCTGTTTTAGCTGCAGTTGATTTCTGAACACACGTTAATGATTCAGAGATTTACTGGAATATAAATTAATAAGGCGACCCTGAGAACTTCAAGCACTGCAGCTTAATAAAACACACGATATGCAAAACACAAGCAAACCAAGAAGGCTGTTGTGACTTATTATTTAGTTTGCATGTGTTTAAGTTGCAGTTAAATGACCTCTCAGGTCCACCATAAAAAAAGGAAAGTTTGTAACAGGTTAAAACAATTTCAACATCAATTTAAAACCAAACATAGGAACAACTGAAAAAGAAACAAATATCAACTGTATTTCTTTTCACAAACAGCATTAACAGTAATGGCGATTTCTATTATTACATCAACGCTGACATCATATTTAGGTGCTGGAGTGAGTGATTCCTAAATGGTGCTCGTGATATGAAACTGTGGTGGACACTTGGAAAAAAGTGAAACCATTTCTCAGAGTGGAATGAGCGTGTTGAATGTACTGTACAGAGTGATGCGAAGTGAAAATGCTACGTTAGTTCAATACCCATTCTCTTCACAACTGATAAAATTGTACAATCATTTACAAAAATATAATTCTATTCTGCATTAATAAATGACAGCAGTGATTATTACTGGTTTAGAAGTCAACAGGAAAAAAGTTTAGAACCAATAACTATGTGGAAATAAGAAAATGACATCAAGCAATAGTACTGGAAGTAATATCTCTGCGTGATACATGAGCAGTACTAGATGTCACTCTGTTTTTTGACCTGCTTCCAGGATTGTGTTTCTGGCACGTAAACCAAATATCACCAACAGAGCTGCTCTTTTGTCCTGTTTGCATTTGCACAGTGTGATAAAATGTTTGAAATCAAGCTTCAAATCTGGTAATTAATTCAACGACCAAGGGTATCCTTCACTGTTGTAACGTAAGCCAAGTTCTTTTTTTTTTTTTTAAACAAAACTCTGTACCACACTACAGTATGATCCTCCCAAACACACTTTAGTTTAAATCAAACCAAATTTAGCATTTATCTTATAAGCAGTACACAAACAATACATGGTTCAGCCGTTATAGTATAATGTAGTTGTAGTGGATTTTGGTGCATTTGTAGTGTTTATTAACAAATTTCTTAACAACTAATAACCATTAAAAGCAACAACAAATGTTTGATAACACAGTATGATCTTAGATAATCATACATTGTCAGTATTAAACCTACATATAGTTGTGATCCTGTTGTAATGAATGCTTTATAAAACACTCAAGATTGTTATAAGCCAATATGTAGCTGGTTGTTAACTACAGAAAATAGGATTATATGCTATTACAACCAAGTTACACTGTGCAATCTAACATTACGCAACTGTTTATGCAACGACTATGAGTGCATCATAGGAGGAGCTATAGTTGGTAGAAACACCGAAAAACTGTCTTCATATCTGCTACAACTGCACCATACAGTTTGTTGTCATGTGTTTCATATACTGCTTATAAATGACACATAGTGAATGTATGACTGATAAGGCAATGCAGTGACTATGATTCGAAAAAGGTTTACATCATTCATGTTTGTTTTTTTAAGTGTTGGATGTCAGCGTCTCGGACCCGACTTCAATGAGCAGCAAGCTCATGATATATTGAGATTATTCCTTAAATCCCTCAATGTAAACACACACAAAATCTCAAAATCTGCATATACAAACTTACACACAGACACACACACTTACAGACACCTACAGTAGGCGAGGGCAACTTTAAGGATTTTCACACACTTGGACAGCTTTGTTAACCCAGTAGGGTTTGTATACAGTATGTCCACACTGTATTGCAGGTTATGGAGAAGGTGTACTGGTCTGAGGAGGGAAGTGAGTCAGAGAAGCAGCATCAATGTTGAGTAGACTGGAGCCATAGCAAATATAAACACTTCCATTGAGCCGAAACCAGTAGTCTAATAATTGATTAGTGATTGACAGACAGTACATTTGCAAAAAAAAAAAAAAAGACAAACACTTTGTTGTTTAGATATTAATGGCATTTTTAAAATATGAAATGCCTTCTCAAATATGACTATTTGCTGGTTTTCTGGGTTTTCAAAATAGCAAATTAAATATGTGTTTTGGTTTTTTGGCAGAACAAGTCATTTTAAAATTATCTTTTGGCTTCTGGAAAATAGTGATTGACATTTTTCACAGTTTTCTGACATTTAATAGCTCAAACAATTAATCACTATTAACACACTTTTCTGTTCCCTGTATGATAGTCATGAAAGAAACAAAGAATGTGCTTCCATCTTACCTGCTTCCTCCATAAATTACTTACTTTACTCTACAACTCTGTCACATTTCAGTCCTTTAATCACTGTATTCCAATGACGAATCTTAACATCACTGAGGCTGCAGTAGGGAACAGAACGTAGAGCTGATGAGACTGTACCATACATCTGTACATGTGGAGGGGCAGGCAGTGTCGAAGTGAACGCAGGATCACAACTGAAATGGTGGCTACTTCATTTTTAGTTGCCATGGAGACTAGACACATGGCTTGACTGATCAATTAAGCCTCAATTTGACTAAAATGTACTTGAGTCAAAGTTCATTTGCAGATTTTGATCTTTTCATCCATAATCTTTAAATAAGAGAACAGGGGAAGCATGAATCAGGACGCTGCCTGGAGATTTTTCAGAGAAAAAAAGATTCACTCACTGAACCTCCAGCAGCTCCACAATCAACACTCTGCACTGAACCCTGACCTCTGACCTGCCCGTGAAGCTAAAAACACATTTCTCCTATCTGGAAACCACACAGCATCACAAACACGGATAGGGCAAAGTCTCCAAGGTTCTGAAATGTAAAAAAAAACAATAATTCAAAGTAGTCTTGTCCGGTGTACACATTTGCAGCTAAATTCATCAAAAGATACTCGTCCTTGACAAACACATACATGCATAGCAAACACGCGCGTACACACACACACATCTCAGCTGTAGTTGTAGGTGAAGTTATATGAGCTAGGCTCCTTCGGCACGGGAGGCGGCGCTTCTGGAATCGTGATGTTCTCAAGGTCGAGGAGGCGGAGCTTCATCTCCATGCTGATGAGAGTATCTAGGTCGCTGCGTGTCAGGTCACTGCCCATCTCCCTGCCCAGCAGCGCACACAGCCCATCAGTCCAGATGCAATACTGCACATGTGCACAGACACACAAAGGAACATCTGTGAAGGTTGTGTCAAAATTGCCATTCACAGCAATTTAAGAGATTCTTCCCAGCAAGTTGTATATATGTTAGTTGATTTAATTGCACTGAACTACACATTCAAAACTACTTTTGCCACTTTGTGACTGAGCAGTTTTTAGTACTTTTGATAGGCATACGAAAAAAAAAAACTCAAATCATGCTTCTTAGTAAAACCAGTAATAACTGCTTAATATTCACCAAAAAAAAAAGACTAAAAGCATGGAAGAATTTAGCTCATTGGACTTACAATTAAATCATATTTTGTACATTTAAAAATATCGTGCATCATCAGTTTATTTTCTACATATAAAAGAATCTGTGCAATATCAGTATTTTTCTATTTTTCAAAAAATCTGTGCAAAACCATTGATATGTGCAATATTGTTATTTTCCACATCCAGAGGGATCTGTACAAATTACACATAATCACATATGGATGAATTAGTGCTTATGTATCATTTTTTTGTTATGATTTTATTTTTCTATTTATTTTCCTTACATATTTGCACTATCACCATTGCTGCTGCAGCACTGCACAATCCCCACTGTGGAATTAATAAAGGCTTATCTTATCTTACAATGGAAATAGCTTACAGCACATAGTGATTCATCGAGAATGTGTCCCTATCGACAAGAAAAGGTAGGAAACGACCATTCTGCAGTGTAATTACAATGTAAGGATCCACTGCTGCTGCTGCAGCATTGACATCCTAGAAGAGTTACACCACTGATTATTCAGACTCGGCTGATGCCATTCAAAATACAGCAGCAGAATTTTCACTTGGCCCATATTCAGGTCGGCGAGTGTTAAGGGGTTAATTGATTTTTTTTTTTTTTTTTGGGCTCCCTCGGGGTGCAGCGAAACAAGCTGTAAACACAACATTAACATTTTATCACCTTCTAAAGTTGATATGGCAAATGTGTTGACAATTTACATGCGTGCCAAACACTGAATAACATTTGGAATTCAGTTGGAGATGTTTCTGGCCACCTGGCAAATGGGAGTCCAAATATTCACTCACATTCTGCTCTCTTCACACCAATTCCTGAGGGAAATATCTGGCTCTTTAGCAGCTAAATACTTGACTGTGTTCACCAGCTGGTTACCAAGTTTGTCTGTCTGCAGTTTGATGCTGAGAAGGTAACGTGCGGCAAATTTATTAGAGCTTTTTCTGTGAAAGCAGCTGCCTGCTGCTGTTGGAAATGAGGATGATGAGAGCAGTGGGACTGAGCCCAAATAGCAAAGCTGCTGATGTAGCGATGAAGTGAAATACGCTAAAATGCTCCACAGAGCTGCACAATGCAGGTGAGAGTCAGGTAAAAATTCTTTACACAAGTGATCCCTTTCATATTAAACATAATAATTCGACCCACTGTTCATATAGAAATATTGATCAGTGCAACTTTAAGGCTTAAATTTGGATTAAACCCCCTCTGCACACAGACAGCTGTGAACAGTGAGGAGTTATTGTTACAGTACCTTCTAGTTCACCTGGAGGACTTGGTTTCATACATGTGCAGCAGATCGTTATCTTCATATTTCTAACGTGCATGCTACTGCTGAGCACCGCTGCCCTTGTACTGACACAAACTTGCATGCATATGTCTGCAGAGGGGACTCTTTTGCACTGGCAGGCATTGAAAGTTTAACAATTGCATATATGCATTATGCCTTATTGTGTACATATCGACTTACCTCGTATTTATTGGGTGCAACAAAATTGAGTGTTTCATCAGGATCATAGAGAACAGAGAAGGCCAACTCCAGCACCTCCTGCGAACGCAACAGGTTAAACAACACGTTTCCTACACTGACACACAACAAAGAATGTGAGGATGACTATGTGACTAGAATGCTAATAAAAAAAAAATAATGAAAATGATCTGACCTTGTTTTGTTTTAGAGCACTTTTCTCCTTCATATGAGGGCAGTCTTTCCCTGTCACCACAGACTTGATATCTGAGACGGGGACTAGGAGGAATACAGGAGAAATAAACAAATAATTACAGAAATTTATTAAGGAGAGCCTCCTGACAGATGCAGCGTGGCCTTCCAGTGACAGTGTCAATGTGTGTGTGTGTTATGAAACATTTATTAACTGGGAGAAGCAGCCACTTGGAGAAATAAAGGTTTTCGAAGTGTCTTACTCTTGTCACTGAGTAGCTCAAAAGGCACTTCACCCTGAGGTGACTCATCCAAGTCCCCGTAGTGCAGCACTTTGTGATTCAGAGAGAGTCTGCAGAACCAAAACTTCTCTACAAAAAAAGGCATTGAACACAGTGTTTAGGTGTTAGACAACAGCAGCGGCAGTCCTTCAGCAGGAAGAGGCAAAGCGATCGTACTGATGCTGTATGTACCTTGCCTTCGGCGGTTCCCCAGTTTGCGGAAGCAGCTTCCTTCGCACAGCCGGTTGAGTCGCTGTTGCTTGATGAGCTCCAAGATCTCGGGTTGAATTCTCTCCCGCAGCTCACTGCAGCACAAACAACAAGAACAAGCATAAACGTACAACGCTATATGATCATAGAAACAAAGTAGAGTTTGGATTTGAACTTATTCAAGCAGCATTACATTTGATTGCTAAGAAAACATTAAACGTGCTAAATGAGTAATACTCCACAGGGTTTGTCAAAACTACACTGCTGAAGACTTCAAAAAATGCAGAAATGTTGAAACTGTACTGTAACGTCAGAATGTGAGGCAGAGGAGACGCAGACTGACATGATCGGTGGAGACTGGAAGTCATCCTGGCTCATTCGTTCTGACTGTCGCAGACGCAGGATCTCGGAATAGTTGAGGCCACGCAGTTTATTCTTCAGCTGGTCGATAGATGACGGCTTCATCGCCAGAGCTCTGGTGATCTGCTCACGAACCACCTGCATCACCTGGCGGGGGTTGAAAAGACGGTTTCAAAACAGGATGAGAGCTACAGTATTCTCATCCGCTTAGCCATGACTGTCTCTGGCAGTACTTTCAGATTAGCTGCATTGGTTTTTAATGAGCCATGAATATTATTAAAGTCAAATTCACAGAATCATCTTTTTTTTTCATTCAGAAACTCAGTCTGCTGACAGCCATCTTTTGACTTTTCTAAAGGCATCAATATTTAAAACACAGTAAATGGTTTCATGTATCCCTGTTCATTTCATTGAACGTCGAGGTAAGTAGTAATTGTCATGCATTATTTAATAAACCAAAAACCTTTAGGCTGTCTGCTCCAGTGAGCTGCTAAGTCACACACAGCAGAGCACAGCAGCTACAGCAGCCACAGCAGCAATGTGTTCCAGTAGAAAGCCTGCCATCGCTCACGTTCATACTGGGATAACTGGGCAGACTGAACAGATGGTGAGTGTTTGGTAATGAGGACCACCTACTGTAACCAACCTACTCGCTCAGTATCACTTGATTAGAAATGTTGGATGGCATTTAAACTCTTAAAACTGATGAATGTAGCTCATCTAAAAATCTACAAAAGTATATTTGTTATTTTGTTGACAGCAGTTTTTAGCACACATTTCACTAAAGGTCCAAAATGTGATGCTCTAAGAGGAAAAGTCACTAACGTTTATTGTTTGGGAAAGTATATTTGTTCAAGTATTAACCAACATATGCAATTATATTTTAATTTAATTTGATTTACAATTTATTTAACCCACTTAACACCAAAACCCACTGATGTTGTCCTAAAGAAATCAACAAAACTACAGCATTTATTAGAGCCAAGAACTGGAAAAACAGAAAGAATTGTCAGATATTCACCTTTCTGATGGTCGATGAACTAAACATATGTGATGTGCAGCCTGTATGGTAACTTCAACCCAAATCTAAAGTTAAAATTGTGAGAACTGTGAATTTTTTTTGTTTCAGCAGAAATTACTGTAGTCTACATCCATCCATCCATCATCTATACACCGCTTAATCCTCACGAGGGTCGCGGGGGGGCTGGAGCCTATCCCAGCCGACTTAGGGCGAAGGCAGGGGACACCCTGGACAGGTCGCCAGTCTATCACAGGGCTACTGTAGTCTACATATTTCAGTTAAAAAAAAAGCCAAAAAATAAACTCTTTGCTATGGCCAACAGTGACGTGACAAAAATTCAGGAACTATTCAGCTGAACTGCAGGCTGTGTTTACACAGAGCAGGGAGGAGACATGTGGAATCAAATCAAAAATGTACGCAGTAACATATCTGTAATACACAGAGCCTGTAAGCACTTTGGTAATGTTGTACGTGTGTGTTCCAGGTTTTCAGTTTTTGTAATCAAAGAAATTCAACGTTTGCCTTTTCTTTTTATGATTTATGGCATTGTAGCTAAGTCATACCGCAAAAAAAAACATTTTTGAGTTCTCTCTGCTTCTAGCCATGGTTGTGCTGTTTCCATAGAGGTGCACGACTTTATACCGCAGCACAAAATGAGCCCACAGTCACTAAAAATGTGACACCCAGAAGCTGCTTAGAGTTCAGAGGGCTAAGGAAGACTTCAGCCTAAAAATGATTAGTATTCAGTTTTAAAATTCTGCATATATATAATGCTGCTTTCATTGGCAAAGTTTAAATATTTCAGTGTAGTGTTTTTCACCAGTCCCATCCTTTTTGACTGTATCATGTTTTGGTGCATTTTTAGAGCAAATAAAAAGTTTTAGAAAACGGTGTTTTGTTCTATGCACGGATTGGATCTGTGTTTGTGAAGGTTGTCATCTTGGTTGCACAGTGAGCTTTGCATAATTGGAAAAACCACAGTCACATGTATGGCACAACTTATGTGAGGTTTGTGTGAGAAGGCTTACACATGCATTATGAAAGCTGGGTTAAAGCAGGGAATGTAACGCCTATAAACATATCTGAATATATGTGAAATGACAGTCAGAAGGTTTTGATGTCAGACCTTGTTGAAGTCTTCAGCTGTGGCCCTCATCTCCTTCCAAGTTTTATTCAGCAGCTGAATGCAGACGCAGAAGAACTCCTCCCATGCCCGGTCATGGGTGAAGAACATGGGGTGATAATCGTTGCAGCCTTCATTAGCTGCACAAAGCCATGATTTTAATTGTAAAATGAAAACGCTGGCATGAGAGAGGCATTCGTCTCTCTCACACCATCCTGCTCTAAAGTAATGAGCGTCAGTGACTTTTCAGAGTACAACAGCTACACACTAAGCTACTTACGCAGTTCTCCGACCTGAAGTATCTCGCACAGCATTCGAGTGAGTTCAATGGCGCAGCGGCCAAAGGGACACTCGTGCTTGTCCTCTCGGCTGCTGTTTTCCAGGACAATCTGTCGTGAGTGGAGAGACGCATTAGGTGAGGCCGACTTTTCTGGCTCCGTGAACTGAGTAAAGCCGTGCCCTAGGCCAACACTAACCCTGATGTACGTATCCTGGTGAACCTTGGCCAGATACAGCATGTTGTCCAGAGCCAGCATCCCTGGAGGAGTCTGGGTGAAGTCCATGGCTGGGTTCACATGGTTCTGCATTTCAAACACAGACGGCATGAGCCAGCAGGCAGTAGAACAAACAGCTCACATCTGCCCGAATCTATTTACACAATTAGTTTAATAATTATTCCTTTTGACAAGAAGAAACTGAAATTTGTAGAGGAGACTCACAGTAAAACCCAGCATCTTGTAGTCCTTGGTGTACATCGCCTTTCTCTTTTCTGTACCAGTGGGGTCATTTTCTCCATCAAAGGCAATTCTACGCAGCTCAAAAATTATGTCTCTCTGAGCCTGGGAGGAAAAAAGCCAACATGTGAAGAGCATATCAGCATAAACAGGTCAACATTATCGCAGCAACATAACAAACAAACCCATAAAAAGGACAGGTGAACCAGCAGTGAGCAGATGGCTGCAAATAAACTCAGCTAAAAACAGGGAAACTTTAATTTTCTGGTCCACTTGTTACACTTAAGGCAGATCCATCAGAGTGGTTTCTCCACTGCTGGAAGGCAGACTCTGATTATTGCCCTTTTCCAGGATGCAGGCTGTTACCATTCAATTAACCATACTGTTCATTTAAACATACCACCAAAGTTTGCTTACATTTTATATACAAGCATCTGTTTTATTGCATTTAGCAGTGCAGTAATCTATTTCAACAGGATGACGCGGCAGTATGGAAATAAATGTCGAATATTGTACCTGGTCATTTGGATCCATTTTGGTCATCATTCGTTCTTCCAAAAGGTTAAAGGTCAACACCTGCAGGACATATAGCTGATGTGCCATTTCTGCTTTGATTGGTCGATTTCCTCTTATAACGTGCTGCAAAAGAAGAGTCCTACGATTAGAACAAAACCTCTGTGTGGGCAGCAAAGGGTGCGTAAACAGCACATTGTATCAAGCAGCGCAAAACAAAGCTACTCATGAAACAACAGCAAGGCCTAATAAACTGTTTTTCCTCTATCGAAAGCATGACATTCTATTATATTGTGTTTATTGTATTGTATGTTTTGACGCACTGCATGATTACTGTTTGATGCAATTATCAACTACAACAAAAAGAAAAATAAATTGACCAACAACGTAATGTGTCAAAACAAACTGGTGATAATACAGATGGTGATTACTGCAGCATAAATGGAGTTGCATTCAAGGTCCACATTGGACCGTTACTGTCCAACCGGTGAGCAGATCTCATTAACAGCGAACACACTCGCAAGGTTTTGGTTCCATGAGACCAAACAATGCCGGAGCAGCTCCAGGACGTTTTCCTGCTCCAGGATGTTGGAGTGCAGCATCTTCCATGCTGACATTTGCAGCCAGTTCAGTCAGGCACTCCCAGACGAATGCCAAAAGGAATCATTTTCAGAGCAGATTCTGTTCCACTTCATGGACTTGGTGTCGTATCACATTTGCTGGTTCTGTGTCACAGCTCCCCAAGTGAGCAAAGCTTTGCATTTCCCAAATGCTGACCAACTCTTGGTCCCGAGGATGAAACTATCACCAAAGCCCAACACTGGATAATCCCAAGGCAGGATAAACAGAAATATTTTGCATATAGAAGGCATTCTGGTGTTTTGATTCTAACTAGTTTCAAAAAACAGTCTCTGGCAACTGCTTAAAGCTTAATGAAGCTCGTCTGAAGGCTTAATAGCCGGCAGAGCGGGGTATGAGTCCTGATGTGCAGCTGAGTTTGTCACAGATATTTTATTCTCTGCCTTTCAGACTTGATACTCACATTGAGAATGATGGACCGCAGGTGTTTCTGAGCCAAAGTGCTTGCCATTTCCTGAGGGTGAAGACATACATCATTGCAACACACAAATCGACGTTTTGCTACACACCAAAGCAGCACACAACAGTATCGGTACTCAAGTGAAGGGAATCTTTGCAAAAATAGAAGCTAAATTTGAACCATTTGCACTTTACACCTTCTGAAAAATGTGGCCAAACTTCACTCCGTCAACACAAGTCTGTCTGCTGCTGCAGCAAGCTATGGTTCTATCTTAATTTGAATGGATTATGCAATGGCTTTCCACGGCACAGAAACAGCTCAAGAGTGAAGGAGGAGAAGGACTGTGGAGTGGAAAAGATGGTATGAGCTGCTGAGGGATGCGTACTCACAGTGAGGTGCTGCTCCAGCGGGTTAGTATACTCCTCCTACGGGTTGAGGGCAGGGAGGAGGGACATGGGCGTGACAGTAATGCAAACAAAAAGTGCACACACATGGACAATGAGATACAAGGATACATCACCGGCACAGCATGCAATGGAAAAAAAGAACACGAAACAGAATCATGTCAAATAAAGACATTAAACAGTCACGACATATCTGACACCCATGTATTTATTCATTTATCCAGCTGGTGTAGAAAAGATTTCACAGTTAGAAAATTTGATCCAACCTCAGCAGGTGATGCTGTGCTGGTTGCTCTCGTGTCTGCAAATGTTATTATATAACGTTTAAATCAATCCATTTCTTTTCTGCACCTCACTCCTTCCTGCCTGACTTCATTTTGAGAATAATTAGTTTGGAAAATGAAACTGAGAACATCTAAACTGGAGCAAATAGATCTGTTAATGTCAGTGTAGAGTAACTCCGCATTTACTGAACAAATGAGGTTTGAACTGGCATTTAGTTGATGGCTGCAGTCATATAAGCGTGTACAGGATACACCGTGTGTCCCTCTGCTGTGTTCCTCCCACTAGAACTGCCTCAGTTCGCCCTCCAGTGGTCAATAACAGCAGCTGGAGAGGAATGTGTGTTAAAGGACAACTGTCCGAACCTACTGTACGTCATAAGGTCACCGAAAGGAAATGTTGCAACCTGCAAAAAAAACTGAGGCCACTTCTTCTTCTCACAGTTACGTATAACCCAGTGCCTCCTCACATACTGACCTGAATTTACCATTTGCACTTTTAAAGCTGAGTGAGGTTCATTTCTAAGTCTTACGGGTCTTTGGACCTTTGCAATAAGAATTTTGTTGAGAAGTTTGTTAGTTAAGTGTAAAGTGGTGACTATAGGAGTACCACTGAAGCCAAAACATCTGCCCATTCAGTCAAAAGTGTGTTTTCTTAAGCACACAAATTAAAGTCACAACAAAAACATTTGATCAAAATGTAAAGACTAACAATTTAAAAGGGAAATCCCTCATGAGCAAAGTTAATTATTTGTTCTACAATCCATTTTCTGTCTTTTTCCTGCATATCCTTGGTTCTCAACTCATAAACTATGGTGACAAAAACGGATGATAAATACAAACAGGTTATGTATAGAATTAGTCACAAATAAGCAGATGCAGACTGAGTAATTCTTGCTAATAGGAGAATATTTTTATATGAGGTTTTTATTTATTTTGTTGTCAAAAAATAATTTTGGAAATCAAAACATTTAATCAAATGTTCAATATTTGTACAAATGTAGTGCTTGTAACAAAAGCAACAAGTTACACTATTTTAATTTGTTTAATCTAAATAAGATTTCTTCATTTGCTGAAAAACCTAAACAGCAAGTTTTATCCTCCAGTTTTCATTCAGTTTTTTTTCACTCCCAAAGACATTATTTCTAGGTCTGAAACAGAATTACTTTCTAATAAAGGAGTGCTTTAAGTTAGACTGTCGTCTCCTGTAAAAATATGAAAATACACGAGCAACATATTGTTTAACTTCTTGCTTAAACTGAGAAATCAAACTTTACATGGAGTACTCTAATTTAGAAACAAAGCACACACAGGGACATAGTATGACACAAGATTAAACACTGCAGTACACTACTGCACAAAAGTTACAACTGCAGATTCAAAAGAACGAGACAGTGACATACTGGACAGATGCACTCACTCCTTCAGTGTTTGTACATTTGTTTGTACTGCAAATACATTTCAGATTTAAAACAATTGTGTAAGTGAAAAGGGTGAGATATTTATTTAAAAGAATATTGATCATGTTATTAAGTGTTATAATTTAGCATTTGTAGATGCATCTGATTTATTTTTCAGACTTGTTAACTTTGCTAAGAAAGCTACCATTTCGTGATTTACATACCTTATATACCGCAGAATAACATCAAGTTCAGTCCTTCACTTCACTACAAACCCTTTTTATTAACCTTAGCCTAAAAATAAATAACTGCTGCATTCTAAAGGGCGCCACATCCCTTCACAAACACTCATCCTTCGGTTACAGCTGAAAAAACAGCAGGATGACAAATGTACAAACTACAAAGGGAGGTGAGTACTATTTTGAGTGAGTGTGTCATTACAACAATGACTGTCAGACAGAATCCACAACGTGACAGCTGGCAGACAGACGTCTATCGTGAGATTAGCTTTAACTAACCTACTGCTGCAAATGCAATGAGTCAAAGCTCTCTGATACCAAAAAACTGAACAAATGTTGATTATGTTTTTTTTTAAGAGTGAAGTATGAGGATGGAACATTAGTATTCCAGTTATGTCTATCTACTGAGAGTAGCGCGCTGTGCTGTAAGTGCACTTACCTGCCGTCTGTCCTCTGGTGCCTTCAGGAAAAGAGCGTTGATGAGGGCGATGGCATAGGTCTGGATCTCCTGGTTTGACCTGAAGAAATATCCAGCAGCGTAGCAACCAGTTAGAAGCATCGTGCTCCAGAGATATCCACACAGGACTTAAACTACAGGCTAACAGCTACGCTACACACACAACATTTACACTTAGTTTTATCGGTACAAACGGTTGGGATGAGCAGGATTTTTAGATGCCAGCAACAGTTATACAACTGTTATTCTATATTTTGCTGTTCCGTCAACACAAGTGAGCGTATCTTGGAAATTTTACAAGACATCAACAATATTTTAATCCAATAAACAGACCAAAACCAACATTGAATCCCTCCAACAAACATCGCCAGCTTATCTAATTCCTAATATAGCTTCTCTATCTCGTAGGGCTCTGTTGTCACCCATAAAGTATTAACAACATATCAGTGAGCCACACTGTTTGCACTGGGTGACATGTTTCATCATTATGATTACCAAAGGCTTTTTATTCTATTCTGAGTGGATCCCACATACACTGTCTTTCTGCTGCTGTAAATACTCATCAGAGCACCCAACACAGATGGAATACATAAAGGAGTCACTGACATATGCACTGAAACTACAATGCCAGGCTGTTGCATATACAAAAGGTAACTGTCCAATGTTTTTTCACATTTATTTCCTGTAGAGCCGGAGCTAAGAGCTAAGAGAAACAGGAAAGTATTGAGTGTCAAACTAACACTGTTGGTTTTGGTCTTTTCACAGGATTTCATGATGTTTGATTGGGGTCATCTACACATCCTGAACTCATCCTTTAATCCTATTCAGGACTTTTGGGATCTTTTGGACCCCAGGCCATTTTGAAGATTTTTATATCTAATAATAATATAAAAAGAGGGACATTTGTCATACATTTGGAACCAAAAATACGTTCAACTTATCAGAAAATGCATTTAACATCGTATAAAAGTCTATAATGAATACCAACAAATATTTTGCACATATTCTTTCTTGGGATCCAATGAACGCCGAAAGACCTTCTGCGTATGGCAACATGAAAGTCCTGAATAGGGTTTAATAGTTCCATGAACTAAATCATGGCAAATACAGCAGCATTATTTCTAAAACACCCCACACTGCTACGTTCACTTCTTTGCCCCCCGTATCAGAGTGCGTGAAGCCCCTGTGCGTGTGTGTGTGCTCACACTTGCAGGTGCCCGATGAGTTGTCCCACGGTGATTTCCTGGGCCACTCGGTGGTAGAGGCTGTGGCTGTTCAGGACCATGCTCTCCAGGATGGCCAGGGAGCGCTGCAGGATGGACACGTCCACCATCGGCTGGTTCACATAGCCTGCAATCTGAGTGAGGACAGAGACTGAGACCAGGCAGATAAATCTGAATCGTTAACATGCCAGATTTGCATTTTTTTTTTACTTTATTCAGTTGGACTTGAAAGTGTTTGTGGTAAACAAAAATAAACCAGGGTAGAAAGTTTCCAAGTGAATTCATAAAATCAAGTAGAACAGAGCTTATGTTCCTTTTTCATTATGTTTTATTTACATATTTGTTATTATTTTTGTTTGTTTTGTTGCTACCTACTTTGTAAAGTGTCTTTGACTATCTTGAAAAGCACTATATAAGCATTATGTATCATTATTATTATTAGTATTAGTATTAGAACCTTATTTGTTTGTAAACGAAAACCAAACTAAGAGTTCTGTTAGTTTCCCCCGAGTGGCTGTCAAGGCCACAGTGAAGTTTCCAGAATAAAACCATTCACATACACACTGACAGAGCTCTACATAATGCGAGAAGTTGCCAGGCAACAGCACCCACGCACTTCCGTCGTTGGAAAGAAAAAAAAAGGTCAAGTAATTAAATAAAAGTACATGAACAAAAACGAATAAAAAGATCGACCTTGAAATTTCAAACAGAGACTTGTACAGTTGAGTTTATGTGAAACTCTTAACGCGTCTAATGGATTGTTCTTTTGTTGGAGGAGGTACCTGTTTGATGAAGGAGAGGGAGATAAGGTCCCAGGACACAATGCCATGATCCATCAGCTCCAGGAAGGCAGTGAGAGTGAAGGCCAGCATTTCACCAAAGCTGAGGGAAGTAAATGACGGTTAGTCATTTATCACATCACTCGTTTGTCATCTAGTTTGGCTTTATAGAAATACTAATGTAAGCAGATAAGGGACTGTTTGGCTGAACTGAGTTGAACAAGTATGGAGACAAATTACAACTATAAGTAGTAAAACATCTATGTAGCATCACTGTTTTTTCTACACTGTTGAGCATCTGAGAGCACTTATTTATTGTACATGTTGATTCCTTTTTTTTTTTTCAAATAAACAATGAAAAAAAATCTTCTTCTTTTTTTTTTTTTTACGATTATCTGAATTATAACTATGCTATTCAGCACAAAATACACTTTTGAGTTCTGTCTCCTTCCAGCCATGGCTGTGCGTTTCCATAGAGATGCAGGACTTTATGCTGCAGTGAAGAATGAGCTCACAGTAAGTAAAATGTGTCAAGAGGAAAACATGCTCAGAAACTGCTTCTGGTTAAAGAAAACATGGCTTACAACTTGCAAATTTTGCACGGACAACACAACAAACTGTCAGCAAACTATCAGCACAGTCGGATGTCAAAAACAAAATCAGCGCTCACTGGGTGCCGCTCTCGACCAGACGAGCCAGCGTCCCGATGCCCTCCATGTTGATAAACTCTGTGGCAAAGGTTGGGTCTGCAGACAGCTTGGCGAGCTCTTTCAGAGCCTCAAGACGAGCGTCGATGCCATGAGACTGGATCCTCTCCAGGAGCTGACGAGCAGCACGACCCTGTCACAAACAAGCAGCATCACTTTCATGATGTGAGTCACCGCATCCATCCATGTCAGTGAATTTGGGGAAACTTTTATAGAGAACAGAACTTCAGAATGACATGAATACAGTTTACATTTCACCTGCTTTTTGTCAGATATATTTTCATCTAAAGGCAAGCAAGAGAACTTCAAGATGTAAAGGTTTCTATCATTAAAAGTTCAGACACAGAGCATGAAACCAAAACTACAGAGCATTAAGGTGGTATATGAACAGTGACAGTTTGGGTCTGATAAGTGCACTTCTGTATTTTCTTCTCAGTAAGTGTGGCTAACTTGACGACATTTAAAACTTGTTTGACTGCTCAAATTCAGAAAATATGGCCAAAACATTACAAATAAGATTGAATTTTAATACTAATGTTTCAATTATTAGTTAAAGCACTTTTGGTGTTTTTGAGTTGGAGGTTTGAGATGCAGTTGGAAGCCGGATGGGATTACAGAGACAGATTATCATACGTGGTTACTGAGTTAGAGTCTGCTGCTATTAAGCATGGCAAATCACAACTTCTTTTAAAAGCACTGCTTTCCCCATCGTGACATAATGACAGTTTAGTTCAGGAGTCACAACCAGTATGTCCGAAGAGAAAAACCCACAAGATCTTTTGGATGAATTCCCAATTTTCCATGGAACATAAAGACCGTAAAGTAGAGTGGATATGTATGCAAACCTTTCCTGTTAAACACAAAATAAGAATTAAAGAGTTGAGCAAAAACACAAACCAGTAAATGGTTGTGTAGAAAGCTAATGGTTTTGAGTTTTAAGGAAGTTTCAAATTCAAAACTTCCTGTCGAGAGATAAAACCACGCGCTTGTTAACAAAGTTGACTTACGGGAGAAATGGCTAATCGAAGGATGGTCCCGTTTTTGATGTCACCACGGCTCTGAAAGATAATAAAGGAGGAATACTGAAATTCTGTAATGATTTACTATTTACCTCAATACATAAATAAGAAGAAAACAGTGAAGCTGACCTGCTCAGTGATGTAAAGCTGAGGACCATCAGCGTAACGCAGAGCAAACTGCTCCGAGCCTGACAAAGACCAGCTGCAGAGAAGAAAAGAGGAATAGAATAGAATAGAATAGAATAGAATAGAATAGAATACTTTATTGATCCCCCATTAGGCTTGCTAAGAATTCATTGTAAGTGTTAGATACGAAAGAATCAGCGGAACACAATATGGGAATGTTATAATGCAGTACACTCTAGTATGCACGAACAAAAGGTTGCTCAAAGTCAGATAGTTCCCTCCAGCAGTTGTATTTACACGAGTGGCAAACTGAGAGACTGTGGAGGAGAATTATCCAGTGGGCGTTCACAGTAAAGTGCAGAGAATTTTCCGTTTCAAATGGTAAAGGGAGGCAGTGGGTAGATGCAGCCCAGCTAAGAGGTGGATGGGAGAGATCAAATTTGCAGTATTTGTCTCTAAAATAAAGAGTAAAAAAAATAATAATAATAAAATAATTTTAAAAAGCAAAGACAACAGTGAATCCAAAAAAACAGAAAAAACAGTGGGTGAGAAGGATGATGTTTACAGTCAGTGATAAATCAGTTAAAGCATCTGCCATTTTCTGATATCTGTTCAGTCCTGCATCACTGATACGCACCCATTTTACTACAAGGCAGATTGAACATGAGGATAGTCTTTCTACCACACAAGCCTGTAAAAACCACACAACGCTCAAGATTAAAACCTAAGTAGAGGCGGATCATTTCTCTCCCTGGACTTGATTTTGTTTATCCTGAAGCAGCAGGTAACGCAATCGCAGCCACTTCAAAAGGGTATGAAAAATACCAGTTAAACAGATGAACTGAATATTGCCATGAATAAGGGTGTTCATTTAAAAAATAAAAATAAAAATAAGCGTGTCACACAAGTGCCTCTGGGTTAAAACAACAAAGAATTATTTGTTGCTTTACGGCACATAAATTTAATGATGTACAGTACAGAGCGAGAGCTGGACGGCAGTTCTTTCAGGACTTTCTGTTTTTTGTTCAGTTACATAACTTGCAGCGTTGTACTACACATCATTGTTGGGAAACTTTTGAACAAAGGAGGAAAATCTCCAAAACTATTTTCCCTTTAACATGCACACTGCCACATACAGAACTAACTAATCAGCTGCTCACATGTACAGTTTGTAAAGAAGTGTTGACTTGAATAAATCTTTCAATTTAATTATTTTATGCTAACCTGTGACTGATGTAATGTATCCATCTAAAGCACCACAATAACCAAACTGATTAGAATTCAAATTTCAGTCATGTAGTTATTCGCCACATTTAAAAGGACCAGTGTGTCAAATTTAAGATAAGACAGAACAGAACTTCTTAATCCCCCAAAAATATTGTTGTGCCAGATATTGTTTAAAACAAAATGCACAACAAGAATAAAAGCAGTGCCTAATAGAAAAGCAGTAAGATATAGGTACAGTGGTTCACAGAAAAAAGATAAATAGGATAAAATGACACTAGAATAGAAAAAGTAAGAAGTAATAACAGCAATTATAATGAGGTTGTAAAGTAATATTACACATAAAATAATGTTGCAAAGGAAATTTAAATCTTATTTAGAGGGATCTATTAGCCTAAATGGAAGTCAGTATTCATAATGATTGCTTCATAAGTGTATAATCATCTGAACCACTGTTTTGAAGCCTCCAGTTTTCTGCTTCTCCGTCGTCATCGTTGAGAGTTTGGATGCAGAAGTGACCATGCTAGAAAGACACAGAGGATCTGGAGTGGAACGAGGACTGACTGAGAACCTGAGGACACTTTGCCGACCCACCTTTACTACTGTGCACAGCTAATTATCACTCCTGATGAGACATGTCCATCAAGCCAACCACGCCACCAAATGGGGCCTTTACTTCTATCTAATAAGTATTTTCAGATGGACCGCTAGGACACCTGTGACAAGGAGGTCATTTTATTTATTAAAACATCTTAATGATTTGTTGAAAAAATTAAGCGACTTAGCTTTTCATGATGATTTTTGAATGGGAGTCTATTGGAGCCGGAGGTTTTTGCAGCCAGAACCTAGTGGTACTCAGCGGTATTGCGCTTTAAGGCACTTCTGCATTGGGCTCAATTTTTTATAGCCTGTAACTACGTCCATCTTTTATAATACAGTCTATGCTGTTATCCTAAATAAAATCTCTCACATCATTTTAGTAAAATAAAGTAGAAGACCGAAAAACAATATTTTCTCATTTGGTAACTGAACAGAAAGTTAGAAAGAATTAAAATCAGCTGGAAAACATTAAAACGCGTAGGAGCAATGCTTACCCATCACATACTTCCCGAATTATTGAGGACAAAGGTCTTTTCTGCAAGGGGAAAAAAACATTGCAAACATGCAAAATTACAAGATTAAAGGGGCTGAAATGAGACATAAATCACCCCTCCCCAAATTGCCTTTTAATATCACTATGATCAGAGCTGACATTTCTTAAATCTATCTTTAGTCCATCCAATTTATCGGGACTACAATTACAGGGACTTTCCTGCGTTCTGCATAACTAAAACACTTCACATCATTACTCATGCCTTTCACATTCAAAACAAATTAAAGCTGTGCATGATTTCCCCCTTTAATTATCAAGTTACACTCTAATGGTTTGCAAGAGTTGAGTCATTAGAGGCCCACTGGAGAGCTATTTAATGTGATGTTGTACACAAATACAGACCTGGTCCATCTCTATGAGCTGAGCGTTGGCACCGGGCCATTCAATAGCCACCTTTACAATGTCAGCTGGGGGCGGCATGGCTGGTTTATCGTTAGCACCCTGCAAGAGGAAAAAAAACTCCAGTCATTAGAACACTGAGCATTTGGTAACAAAGTCTCGTTTTACTGTTTTAACTTATTTCCGCTTTCTACATCCAAGCCAAGGGAAAACATTTTGAGTTTTTGCTGAATGTCAGAAGACTGCTTAACTTCAGAAAAGTGTGAACCAGGGGTTATACTTCACCTAATGGACAAATGCAGATAGGGTCAGTCACTCTCACAGCTCTGCTGTATAAACCTCTGTGTCAGCTCCCCTGTGAACACAGAAACCCACACACTGGTCATGAAAGTGCAAAACCTTGATTTCCTTGAAGCCCAAAAGCTTAGTTTGCTGAATCCCTGCATTTTCTCTCCTCTGAACTGAATCTGTCAGAGAACAGATCAATAAGCATGACTGTTTTACAAAAAACACCCACACACACACACACACACACACTCACACACAGTCACATAAATATCTTGGTCCACATACTGGGCTCTGGGTCTGCAGAATTTTTCTGTCCTTGTTTACAATATTGCTAATATATAACCTAAAAAAAACTGTACATGAGACTAATTTTGCATCTTTCTTGTAAAAACTCTCATGATGTTGTATTTATTATTAAAAATGTTATTTTCACACCCTCTGACACTTTTCAAGTTTTGCATTTTGGCAATGAATAAGTAAACACAGACATCAGCTGTATGCATCCAAAAACCAGAAGAAAATGGGATGTTGCTACTGACCATCTGCTCAAAGTCTATTCATGTTGCTCATTCATATGTAGCTCACATATTTACATTTGACCAGTTTTCACAATTTTTAATTAAAAGACATTTAATTCTTAGATAATTCCCCTGCCTATTTTGTAAGGCATCACTTTTTCATTAAAGCTTAATAAACGTATTTAATTATCTGCGACAAAAACGCTGTGATGAAAGAGCAGGAAGAGCACAACAGGGAGCAGTCTTTGGCAACAGAACGAGATCTCTCTCTGCTCTGACATGAAGAAAGCATGAAAAGCTTTCAGACAGACTCTGCTTGTGATTGGAAGATGACAACAAAAAAGGAGAAAGAAAAAAAACAAAACACTGCTGTTCAGCTCTTTGCATTCAGACTGCTTTCAGGATGTACTTAGTGCGGCTTATTACTCCTCATTTGAAAAGAAATTTTAATCATTAGCCTTCTGTTACATGTAAGAAAAACCCCTCTTGAACCAACAACAGTCTTCCCTAGAGATCCATCAGCGTTGTAGCATTTCCAGCACTGCAGCACCGTCTTTCTCAGGAGTTTGGATGTTTGTTCTATAAATATGTTCACCTGCCAGTTTACATCAACACCGGTTGTGACGTCTGACACTGTTAAGCTTTGATCAGTGATGAAATAAAGCACAATTTGTTCTCCAGCATACAGCATCAGTTGTCAGTGTGTCTTTACACTGCAGATGCCAACTCCTCATGATGAAAACATCTCGAAGTTGGGATAAAAATTTAAGCTGTTGCACAGTGAATAATAAGCATGAATCCTTTTGAATCTCAACATCTTTGAAGGATGAGATCACTGAACTGTGTTCTCAGCATAATTTGTCGCCACAGAGCTTAGCGGACTGATGGGGGATGACGCGGAGCACATTAACATCGACTACGACGAATTATAGGTGGATTCTGTAAATGATGCAGAGTGAAATTTGCCAATTAAATTCGGACTCCAACGAACCATCTGATGGAAAGACTGCACCACCCCCACATCTTCAAGCAGACTGTCCATCGCATCACATAATGTGTGATCTCTGAGCCTGCCCTGCTGAAAAGTTTGTTCTCTTGCAAAAAAAAAACAAGACCAGAATGTTTTCCACAAGTTCTGGTACTAATCTACACTTTCAGCATTGACATGTGGCTATACATTTGCACAGTGTTAAACAGTGTTATGTCCATGTCTGATACATCAACTACTGTATATCTATGCAATACACAGTAGTCGTTCCCTGTGGGATGGAGCAATACGTATGTTATTGTGCAGCATGTGGACCAACGACATCACGTATTAATAAAATCATAGTACTTTTTAAAACTGCCAACGATGACAAATAATTGCCACCAAAAGTAACTAACAATTCAATTTCTCCAGATTTTTTTAGGGAGTAATTAAAGGAGCACCTGAAAACAGTTCCCAACGTTTCCATGCAATCAAATGTAATTAACATAAGGTAGACAGACAAGAGATGATACAGATGTCATTATTTCATATCATAACCTTAGTAGTTTATAGGAAAATGTTTAAGATTTCCTTCCAGTGAGATCAGCCCTACTGTTTATTAACTCATTACTTGTACGATAACATTCAAACTACAGGGGGAACCATGAGGCTAATTCAGTGCACAAAAAGTAAAACTCCATCAGCCACCAAGGAACAACAACAGTCATTACACTGCCACGACTTCTAAAGGCCCACAACAGACAATAATGAAATAGTCAGAGCACAGTGAGTGACGCATCTCAGCAAAAACACAAGTGTTAAAAGCTAGTAAAATGGAACTAGAACACCATGTAAAAAGACTGACAATTAAAAGTCTTGGTAGTGATGTGCATGTGCTTTGAAAGCCAGAAACCACACCAACAGATATTGAGTTTACTGGAGTCATTTTGGGATTTATGCCAGTAAATATACTATGATATAATGCATCTTGTGAAACATTGCTTCCGATTTCATTTGGCAGGTGAGGCTGGTTCTTGTTTAGCTTTAAGGCAGGGATTACTCAGAATCGGCTTTGAAAAAATAGCATTATTGGTGAGGCTATCTTTTTTATTTTTGTCTGTCTATGTCAATGCAAAATAGTTGGTTCAATGTGGGACTGAGCAGTCTACTCATTTTATTGTGCACCATGGAAGAGAATAAATGTTTCCAATTATTATGTCATCTATTAAAAAAAATCAAATCGCGCTTTTATACTACAAACACTCACAAATAATTGTAAGTAAAAAAGAACAAAGAGCAGCAACAGCAACATATCAGTTGACTCCTAATTACGGGTGGAGTTGTAGACAGATTATAATTTAAATTATTTATGACTTAGCTGTATTTAGGTTTACAATTCAGTCTGTTCTTTACTCTACCCGTTTGGATCGGTCACCAAAAAGGACAGAGACAGAAAACAACAGATATTCAGGACTGCAGAAAAAAACCCACTGGGGCCAACCAGCCTTCCATCCAGGACTTAAACGTGTCCAGAGTCAGGAAGCAGACAGGTAACATCACTGCAGACCTGTCACACCCTGGACACAACATGTTCTAAAAAGCTCCCCTTTGGTGGGCAACACAAAGCAATGAATGTCAAAACAACCAGACACACAAACACTTTCTTCCCACAGTGCATCACTCTGCTGAACATTCAAATCAGTCAGAAACAACTCATTCTAAATCCTGAACTGAATATCACAGGTAAACAGAGGTAAGACAACCCCCTTAAGAACAATATCTATTTTATTTTTGATATGTATATATTGTGACTATCAATATGGCATTACACATAAACTATGCAAAAGCGAACAGATTTGTTTTTAGATTGTACAAAGCTGAACTTAAATCTTGAAAGCTTATGCAACTTAACTTTATTTCCAAAATGTGATGTTGCTATGACTTTGACTGCAACCTAAATGATAGATAACACACATTTTATTTCTACACTATTATGACCGCTATCTTCTGGGAAAACACCTGAAATAAAAACTGACTATACCTAGTGGAAGAGAATTGTAGGGGGGCATCTTACCTCAGTTTACCCTGCCTTTTTATAATAATCAGAGCAGCGTTGCCCTCTGCTCTAATACATTATCGTCCACTTACCTCATGTATATGACACCTCTATTAGCCTTTATATTTTTGCACAACTGTGAGCCATTCAATTGTCAACAATATTAAGCAATGTGCAGTATCTAGAAGTGCAACATCAGTTACACTACTGTTTTCGTAGCGTTCTCAAACAGGCTATCCCTAAAAGAATGAGCTATATCGCTGTTTTCACAGGATGCCCCTTTACATACTATATTTTTACTACGTTGTTATATTTTAGAGTTGTACATTTCTTACTGTACTTCTAAAAAAACTGTTTGATTGTGTGAATGCACAGACGGGATTACTGCTTAACTTTATTGCACACGCTGCAATGGCTGTGAGGGAATTCTATTCTATTGTATAAGGTGTCGATAACTCTGTTTATTGCAAATAACTATATTTTGCACTTCAAACATGTTCTTCTACACTTAACTATAGTTGCACATAGCTGTTAAAAAATAATTTTCCTCCTGTAACCTGTTGCCCTTGTTTAAATGCATGCATGTTTTGTACCTGTGCAAATTTCCAAGAATGTGGTCACATGCTTGGTCAATAAAGCTGTCTCTGTAATGACAAGTGGACCAGCATGCAAAGGAGCACTGCTGACACTAATTACACCTGTGCATCTCCTACATGCAAAAAATGTCTGCTGAGAGAAAGGTTCTTTTGTATTATATCGCAGAATAATGGTTGCTCTATTTTCCTGGACAGCTTTCATGAGAAGCGTTTCCTCCCCCTTGTTTTGTGCAACCCTGCTGCTGTCTAACTGGGAGCTTTAAGCTGAAACCAGTTTACAACAGTTACTTGGCCGCACGCGCTGTGTGGCGGTAGCTTAGCAACAACTGCTAAGGCGCCTGAACAGAAGAAGGCGGACAGCGCTGGAGGGTCGGAGCCTCCATTCACTCCACAACTTCTGCCGTGCTCTCCCACCACAAACACACACTTTTCCACCGCGACCCGGATGTTTCTGACGCCATTTTACTGTTTCTTTTTCTTTAATGCGGTTTCGGGGGGCTCCCGTCCGGGGCTGCTGGAAATAAGACACATGAAACTGTAGAGCGCCCAACTTTCATGTTAGCTAGTTGGACACCCCGAGTGGCGCCCCCTCCGGCTGCTAGCAGAAGAAGGAGGCTGCTCTCTGTAGGAGATAAAACATCTTAGGGAAGTTTAAATTCTTTTTTTTTTTCCCCTTCTTGGGAAATTATTTAATTTAGGGAATTTCACATTCTCGTAACTGAGGCGCAACAACAGGCGTCCTCCGGCGTGTTAGAGAACCGTTAGTTGGCTCATGTGCTAGCAAGGATTCCCGTCAAAGAAGCGTGTTGACGGTGTGAAAGCCAGCAAACACGCTGATTTTATGGGAAACCTTCTTCTATTGAAGTTACGCTTGAAGGCCTGATTATAGGTGATCGATTAGGCTGGACTGAAGCTATGGTAACCAGAAGGAGCCCCCTCAGACTGATGCAGCGGAATCAAGCAGCTTATTGAAAACAGCAGGCTAATTCAGAAGAGGCTAATTGTCCGCCTCAAAGTGATGCAAAGCAGCAAACTTACTCGCTATTTCAGTGACTACCAGCGTTGCTCCTCACAAGGCGGCTAATGTTATTCAGTCATCCATTCCGGCTTGTCCCTGTCCGCTCCTCCATTGCAGTCAGGATGCAGCCAGTCTCTCTCTCTCTCTCTGTCTCCGTCTCTCTCTCTCTCTGTCTCGGAGGCGGATGATGGCTTCACTCTGTGTGTTTTCTAACCAAAGCTTTCTGCTCTGCTAATGTCAATACTCGGTGCTACTCAGCCCGTGTCTGGGCCATCGATGGTGCCTCTCGGTATCCCTCTCTCTCCCCAGTGAAATACTTGTGGAAAGGAGACACGATTCCACGCCTTGTAGGCGGGACACAATGTAAATGTCACCGTCTGCAAATGTGAGGCAGACCCTTCTTCATCTCTTCATCATTTGTGCAAACTGACATCTTCATGCAGTCTGGGTGAGACATCACTGTTTCTATATGTGCAGAAACTGACAGGCAAAGATCTTTGACAACGGTTCATTATTGGTCAGACATCCAACAACTCTACATAGGTGTGGGCACCCCTGTGTCATGTCACAGTTTTGTTGCTAAGTAGATTTTTACAGGAATTTGACGTGATGAGTTCGTGCATGGGAGGGAAGATTTTTTTAAAGGATTACAAGATGTAAGAAGAAAGCAAGCGTTGCAAGTCAAATAAACACCAAGTGAAGCAAATCCAAGGAATTTTAGGCATTAAAGATATTTACAGTGTGCATGAATGTGCAAAATTATTTAAGAAAGTGAAACCTGACAGTACATGGTGTGAACAACTTAGAATGTACAGAGGGTGATCATTTTGCTTTTAAAAGTTTAATGTAAGGCACTAAGTCAGTGTCTATGGTGGAGGGTGAGGGGAGAGAGGCTCAAGCCTGGTTAATGAATATATAAGAACACTCTATTTAAACTTTACTTTTTTTCCAAAGAGGTTGTACATCTTTGTTAAATTATTAATAACTGAAGTAACATTTATAAACATTGTATATACATCAAATTAAAAACAGGGCACTTCAGAGATAGAAGTAAATTTAAGAATGATTTTTTTTTTTTTTAAATAGGAATCGGTGCTCATCCACATTTGCACTAAAGGCTTAGCATGTTTCCCTTTTGTTCATTTTAAAGCACAGAGATTGTCAGATGAAGCCCCGTTCTAAAAGGGGGCGTTCATTTTTCTCCACTTGGTAGCTAATTAAAAAAAAATGTCAAAAGCACCAGGTTGTTCAGTAGCAAACACTAAACACAATATTTTCTCTTTTTGAAAGTAAGGTTGCAACAATAAAGCCCAAACCAAGAAAACAAAGCTGAGAATATGACTAAAATGTGTGGCCTTCAATTGCCCCGTTTTCTCTCTGCTTGTTTTGTGCCGACACAGGATTTCACAGCTGTGTGATTACAAAAAATCTCACCATCTACATTTACAAATGCTGTTCATGGAAATTCCTGCAAACATTGCAGCCTACGTTTCATTCTAATCTTTCTACCGATGTGTGGATGTGACATTTCTGAGCCAATAATGATAAATATCGGTTAGTTGTGACCGCTAAAATATAAATGGTCAACAAATGACTCTACATTCTGCACCACACAGACAGTCACGACACAATACATATTTATTTTACACAGAAACCATGTGTACAGGAAAAATATCCACAGCCTCAAGGGGGTAGTACGTAACACTGGCTCACCTCATAGGATGGCTGCTGGTGAAACTCGAGGGGGCAAGCGGACAACTGCACTTAAGTTCACTGAGGAGACAACTGAATGTATTTTAGCTCCACATCACATGTCATGCATTACATCAAAAATAGTATTTCTGACATAATTAGCTTCATCAACAAACACAAACATACCCAATCTCAACTGTTGTACAGGCACAGAAACTGAGCTAAACTGCTCCTCTGGAAAGTTTAGAATTAAATTTAGATAATGTGGCAAAAGCATCACATCACAAATACACTTTTATTAAAAAAAAAAAAAATCCTGACTTTATATCAACGTCATTTAGACGCATTTCATTCAATAATACATTCTGCAGTTTGTCCATGAATCAAGAGTAGCAGTAAACCCAATAGGACATTCCCTAAATGAAACACTACGGTCTCTCAGAACTAAGCTTTTTTTTAAAGTTTTCAGACACTGTTCAAATGTGTCCCTTTTAAAATGGTGAGATGTCGTAGCACTTTGTTTGTTTCCTGGCAGTTTCCATGTTTTATGTCACGCCATCATAAAATAAAACCAAATTAAGTGACATACTATAAAGCTTTAGTAGTAAAGGAAAAGTTGATGGCAGCGATGCATCTTAAATGATCATTTACTGACATGTACACCTCACAGCATCAGAGACACACAAGCAAACCGACATCAGTTTCAACAGAAAGCAAACACAGCTGTTTAAGGCTTTTAACACATGACCATACATGAACACGACTGTCGAGGTTCAGCGACACAAATTTTCCAGGAGTGACCTTTTTTTTTTTTTTTTTTTTTTAACAGCATTGCATTGTCACTGAAAACACATCAACACTGTAGACGGGTGTTTGCGGCTTTGCTGTTACACACTTATTTGAACAAAGACAAAAATGAGCCACAGAAAATCAAAACAGTGGTAATAAGGTCTACATCAAAACAATGCTGCAGGATTAAGAAAAAAACAAACTGAAAAGCAGGCAGTAAACTGAACACTTGTTAGAGGTAGGAAAATCTGCATGGAACACAGTTTCCAGGATTTATCCTTCACTATTTGAAACACATGGTAGTAAAACCTTTTGATCAGTCATGAGGCCTGATGAGGACTGCTTTTAGGAGCACCGCAAAATGTTAACACCCAAATAATGAACAATCCTGTAGCTGCGTTGCACTGGTTGAAGGCTCTGCAAGCAGATAATATATGACTACTGACTGATGACAGCAGACACCGAGGTTCAAAGAATCAGATAAGCATGTGACGTTGTCTTCCGATATCAGTTCCAAGAATTTAAAGTGTAGATCAACTGAAGCCAAAACCAGATGTGTAACTGGTACCATAGTACTTAATTTAAGGTTTGTTTACATGTTTTAGAGTTACTGGGAATCAATGGCCACACAGAATATTAGGTGCTGCAAAACTGGCCTATATATAAACCCAGGCACCTCACTGAAATTGTGTATAACCAGATGACCTTTCTTCTTGTTGTAACAGTGAACTTTTCAAAATACATTTGCATCCATGAACAATGTGAGTGCAGCTGCCACTTAATCTGAAGGATGCACAAGGTAGATTAAATTAATTCCTAACAAGCGTTTGAGAGCTATGACCACCTAAGCATCCAATGTATAATGAGCCTCATTAACGTTGCCCCGCAATTCAGATGTTAATACAAGTGTGAAGGTATTTGTGACACCAAAACCTCACAATTCACAATGACCAAGGTGCAATGAAACTTGATGCAGTTCACAGAGTTGCTTCGTACGAGATGAAATTTACAATGGCCGTCTCTTCAGCTGAGATCACGAGTTACAGGCTCACAGGTCAGCAGTTACAACAGCATGACGACAACAATTCGCTCTACAATCCCCACCTGCATCCAGTTACTGAGTCACAACCTTCACTCTCACGTACAGTACGTATAGTTACCCTGCAGAGAGGAACTTTTATGTATTATCTACAATATAATCTTTAGACATTAATTAAATCAAAATCTCACACTATATCTTTTGAAAACAAAACTGCAAAAATTATGAATAAGACTATTTATTTTGTCCAATGATGGTTGATGGTGCTACGGTTTAGAGAATGCAAGTTTGTCCAACCTGAGCCTGGTTTAAACGATTCTACAAGTAAATACAGCCTGTACTGACTGTGTGAGGTCTTATTTGAGAGTATATCTACACCAAATTTCAATTTAATAAGTCAGCCAGCTTCAGGGTCCGAACATGAGGATAAAAACAAATAAAGAAACAAACAAAAAACAACAATACATAGTATAATATTGCAATAAATCCCCCTGCTCTCCCCCGGTATTGGCAGGTATACTTGGCATATAATATATATGTCTTGTTGTTTTTAACCCAAACTGTTTCATCTCAACTATACGGTAAGTTAACAAACCGTTGCTTATTTACTTGCAGTATAAAGTAACATTACTTACAAGAATGTGTGAAATAATCATAATATGATGTTGGGAAGGTGCTAAAATAAATCCAGACCTTTGCAGTGAACATGTGACTTGTGAGTTAGACAGGTTTTGCCCCGCTGTTATTGACAGACAGTGAAGATGGGAAAAATAATTGGGGTAAAATTAAATTATTGTATTAACCAATCAAAGTGAGTTTTAAAAAGGTCAATGTTGCAATGATCAAATCATGAAATATGACAAAAATCTAAGTTGTAAGCTTGTGTGCATAATAACATGTGATATCATATGTGCATTTACCCTAAAGCAACTTAATTATTTTAGCAGGGGGGCAATTACTGATAAACCTATTTTTTTGGGGCACCTCAAACTCCTTAGCATTGTGTTGTATCCTCTTCTGGTCCTGATAACATGACAATGTTGTATCAGCATATCTCTGCTGATATGGAATCCATCAACTATTTGCACATTTTATTTATTTATTTATTTTTACAAAAAAATAAAATAAAAAATAATACTATGAGGGTCATTTAGTCCTACCTGATTATACATTAGATTATTTTATTTAAATTGTACATATTCACACAGATAGTGATTAATGGTAGCCAATTTGTCATGATGACCGTTTGGTCTGTTAATTTAATATAACACTGTGACTACAGTATGGAAAGGGCTTTATTCTGTCAAAAATGCATTTCAAAATCAATTTTACAAAACCAAAATGTGCAAAAGGTCTAAGGGTTTAACTTAAACACAGAAATAGTGTGATTAGTGTTCAATCAATCATACTGTATTTACAACGATTCATATTTACAACATCCAATCTTCTCTTTCATGCATCATTTTATTTATGTGGTGAATTCAAAACCAGCATCATGACACCCATGATACAGTATAAACACTGGCTTGTTCACCTTTAAGAGTATTATATTTGGGGATCCCAGGCAGCGAGTTATGACGTTATCTACACTGATTTAATTTAATTCATTGTGATGAAGGCAATTTACAATAAAATACAGGACTGCAGGTCAACATAGTTGTATTTTTTAACAATATTCATTTAGTAATGAGCTAAAATTATCCCTGGGCTTCATTCATTGTTTCTTGGATGTTTAGTAAATATATTTTGATTGCATTAACAGGAACTAAGCTGACGCAGCTCTTTCCCTGAAAGTGCCAGTGAGATGAACAGCGGGAGAGACACAGAGGGAAAAGGCCAGAGTAGGAAAAAGGTGAGATGTATGGTTGTGTGGTCACTACCAGTCTGCGTTATCCCAGGCTTCCTCAGCAGGTTTCGTAGGACTCTTCTTCGTCTTACCATCTGCGTTCTCCCAGTTGTTGTCCCAGGCCTCCCAGCTCTCTTCTGTGCTGTGTTTGTTGTTGGACGCTGCTTCGGAGCCCCAATTGTCCCAACTGTCAGAGCTCTTCTTTGCAGAATTATCTGCGATGGTCCAGCTGTCACTGCTGGGAGATTTCTTGGCCTTTAAAGAGCTGTTGCTGCCAAAGGTTTCCCAGAAGTCCTTTGCCACAGGCTGGCTTGAACTGCCTTGATATCCCTCAGTGGCATCCATGTTCTGGTAGCTCTCTCCAGCAGACCTGAACACAGTAGTAAACATGAAGAAATGCTTTAAGAAATCACGTATCACGTTATTCACACAGATCATATATTGCTAAAGATTTTGCTGTTTGCTTAATTTGTATGAAGTAGTTTTTGTTACCCATCTTCCGGTTTTCCAGAGAAGAGATTAGTCAATTTTGCACCAGCTCCCTGAACCTAAGCAGCAGAGACAACTATTATGTTGATGTTGCCTGAAGTGTTAACACACAATGACTTTGAAATCAATGGATAATATTTAAAAAATAATCCAAAGGCCTAAACTGCAGAAGTGTAATAAGTGTTAACTGAAGAAACCTAAATATTATAAACAGGAATGTTAGCCACTCAAAGACTAGTTTAAGCAAGTCATAGAAGCAGTAATACTGAGACTGCACAAATAAACTTGTTTCACTTTTACACCACTGTTTTTATTTACAGTTTTACATCCTAACAGTTCACTACAGTGTACTCACCACCAGAATAAAAGTGGCAGCAAGAAAAATGAGAGATTACATTGAATTAGTATTATTCAAACATTCATCAACTTGCAAAACCAGTCTCCTTGGAGGGTTACAATATAGAGAGGGGACCTCTGCATTTATGCATACTGTTTGTGGACTTAAGAGACCCAGATAAATCAAAATACGTTGGCTCTGGGTTGCTCTTCCTCACTCAGGAGGCTGGTTTTGCATCGTACAGTATGGCAGATATCTGCCCCTCCTACCTTGTTTGCCAGCCCAGAGATGCTGACTGCCATTTCATCTAGTAATTTGCCATCTTTCACCTGGATGAGCCAAATTATTATTAAAAACTAACAAAAACAAGAATTGCTCTTTAAATACATTTGTCATATAGAACATGTTGTAAACTGTTAGTTTTTGATTGTGAGAGTAGTGATGGCATGTTTTGTTAACAACACTGATAATTAACATGGGGAAAAAAAGAGAAATTGTTTTTTTGTTTTTTAAAGAGAGAAAAAAAAACACATAATACAGATATCTTAAACCAGCAGTGCCAACTATACATTAGAAGACAAAAGCATCTTGTTTAATGTTGGATAGATTTTCTTAAATCGTTTTTTATTAATGTTATAATTAAAAAGTCAATTCTAAGGTACACTTCATGGATTTGGATCTATGAGGACCTGTATGTTTATTTACAGGTAAACAGCACTCATTTGATCCCATTAAAAGACACATCCAGGAGCTACTCATTTGACAAAGTCAAAGTTAAAGCTGTTACGCAGAAGCATTTATGTGGGAAAACACTCACCACTTCCTCAGGGACAGCAAATTAGTATTTAGTTCATACATAATGCCAGAAACAAAGCTTGCCTCAATGTCAAAGCTCAAACGCATCAAATCTACAAAGACAGTGAGCAACTGTTTTCAAATGAGGAGCTCTCGGTTGTGTCATTTTATGTTTACTGATGGCAATAGGAGAATTTCCCCATTGAAGAAGCCTCAGTTTTCTTTTGCCCTGATCAGTTAAGACTGAGTACATTTCTGGCAAAATTTCAGTGGCCCAGCCAGATGATGATGATCAGCCATGACATTAAAACCACCGTACGCAAGTAAAGTGAACCAAATTTTATGATTTCATACATCCCAACAGCAGCAGCCTCCCCTAGCAGAACAATGCATCCCATCACACTGTAAAGACTGCTCAGGAACAGCTTGAGGAACACCACCAAGAGCCACTGTGTCGGCCTGGCCCAAAACTCCTCAGATCCCCGTCTGAGCATCTGGAGCATCTGCAGGATGCACTAGAACAAGCCTGATCCACAGAGACCCCACCCCAATACCCACAAGGATGCACTGCCAGTTACCACAGGACACCACCAGAGGTTTCCTGTCCATGACCCAACGGGTCAAAGTTGTTCTGGTGGCAGGAGGGGGACCTGCACCGTGTTAAGCAGGTGGTTTGAATGTTGTGGCTGATCAATGTACATCTGTTTAAGCTCTGCGTATTCAATTTTCATTACTTCATTTGTAAAGAGAGCTATAAACCAGCCCTGGAGCAAAACTTAAAACATTTTTGTTAACTGCACCACTGATATTTCCATTACAACACTGCGTCACATGCCAGTGTAGACTAAAAATTGCTAATGTAAAAAAAACGAATGCGTATGTAACACTGAAATGATATGGAGTATAGTTTTTCAGCACAGAGAAGCTCAAGATTGAAAACTGACTACCTTGAAATGAGGCATGATATTTGAACAAAGACTTTGCCTGGTCAAAAAAATTTAAATGTACTTTAATTTTCATCCAGTGACTGTGCTGACAGTTCACACTGACTCACACAAGCTCTCAAATAAACAGTTCACAGCTGTACACGGCTGCAAATCTCATGGCTGAGTCACTGACTGGGAGAAACAAAGGACTGTTTTTTGCAACCGCAGGTTTTGTCGTTTAATGTAAGCTGGCATAAAGCAGATAAACTAGCACACACAAGCAGTGGAGAAAATAGCACATTCACATCTGAAGCTGTTCTTTGTCTAAAGCACTGCATCCCACCACCAAATCAACAACTTCAAACATCAATGTTACCTTTTCTTGGGTAGGTTTGATAACATTCTCATTTAATGTCTGTCCTAACTCAGTGGCCTAGTTGGAAGTCAGAGAGGAGAGTTCACTTGAATGAAACACAGTTTAACATTCAAATACTGCAAGACACTGAGCTGCTTGTTCTGCAGTTGCATGAAGAGACTGATCATTCCCATTCACCATGACACTGAACAAGCACTAGAGGGTGTAATGGTTCAAAAAACTAGCAGCAGTTTGAGGGCATAGCTGCAATACCAATAAAACACAACATCTTTGCTTTACACATCCTTCTTGCAACAGTAACAGGTTGCATGAAGGATTTTTTTTGTCTCAAAAACCTACCAGATATTGATCAAGTGCCAAACTTTAGAGAAGTTTACTAAAGTGTTTTTACAGACCATTACCCCCCGTCAGCAGTGTTAGCAGTGAACACAAGAACTGACATGCATGAATGGATAACCGATTATCAATGGACATGAGTGAACAGTTCCTCTGTTCATTTCTATATTAAGGGTAGGAATTATCACAGATCCCTATCCCCTAATATATCATATCTCACAGTACAAATACCACCTGTCAAAGGTTATCCATAAACTCAAAATATATGTAACAGGACTGACACATTGCCTTGTATTAGCATTACCAAACAGAAGCATGTGAAGATGACATTCACCAACATTTTGCAAAATGTTTGTTTGACTGCAATAAAATAGAAGAACTGACAAGCTGACAAAATATAAAGAATGGGTAAAGTAATGCATATTTTAAAAAATAAGCAAATAAAAAAACATGATGTGAAAAAGCGCCATGCACCTATAAACTGCTTTACCGGTTCTGGGGGCGCTTTATAGCCCCTTAACTACATCCAGAGAGGGCAAAGAGATATTAAAGTAGTAACACAGTTATTAAAGCTTGAAAGATTACATTATCTATTAAGAGCACACAATTTGTGAATGCTAATACCCTCAGGTAGGAGAGGAATACTCAGTATAACTGATAAAGGAAGTCAGAGGAAACTTAGGTTAAATGCAATCCTGACAGACTAACAGCACCAATAACAGGTTATCTGCGACTACATTCATCTTACCTTTAAGGTTGCTTGATTTGCCAGTTTAGAAGTCTGTATGTGGGAGGAAAAGGTTAAAAGAAAAATAATTACTTTTATATACGCATTGTTATTTTTAACAAGAAATGCAATGCAGAACTTAAACACTATGAAATCACACTTGTGGAAACATACTTACGTTATCTTTGGCAATAGAAGCAAATTTGCTAGCTCCAACAGTGAAACTGCTCCAACCCTGACAAAAAATAGAATAAAAAATAGTTAACAGGAGAAACAATAAAAAGTACAACTTACCCAGAAGATGTATACTATGACCTACTGAATAAATAGAAGTCATAGCATTGTTCAGGAAGTCATCCTCCTTCTTCTCCGGGGTCACTGTGTTCCCAAAGCCAACATATCGATTCTCTTGATTTCCACTGTAACCACCTCCACTGTTGAAGCATGAAAAATCATTTTAGAAAATCACTCCCTTCACAGAACACAATACAAGAAAAGCACCTCAAAAATGTACCTCTGATAGGAGTTTACATCGTCACTTAACCAGTCTTCAAAGGCTTTGTCGCTAGATTTCGCTGAGTTCTGTCCAGGTCCTCCAGAGCTACATTAAAGAAATGAGAATCCACTGCTTTGAAGACTGTTCTGTATGTGGCATTACACACACTATTAGCTAAATGTTTGAAATGTAATTCGTTTTTACCGATGAGACGATGAAAGGCTAGTCTTGGGTTGAGGAGATGTCCAATTTCTGGCAGGGGACGTCTCAATGGACCACTCCTTACCCTCTGCCAAAGTTGCAACCTGTCATATAGCGTGTCGAAAAAATGTGAATTCTTCTGATTAACAGGAGACGTCCTGGCAAACTGGAGATCTCACAGAACCTCAACTAGCACTGAAACATTCTTCGACCATAATATCTATTTCACATTTGTTCTTTTTATAAACTTGTCAATTAACCTATTACATTTCAGATCTCCAAAATACACAACATCAGTGTAACATCACCTACCACAGTGACATACTAATGAAATAAATTAGGATTTTGCAGGACAACTGAGCAAATTTTAATCATTGAATTTTGGCCCTGTGCAGCTCACCTTGTCCCTGAAGAGCGCAGCGGCTCGACTGTTGTATTTCTCCTGTAAATTCCAGTTGGGGTCATAATCATCTTGGAGTTCAAGAAACAAGCGGAATCTTCCATTTCCTCCCGCTTTCATTTTCTCAAGTTCAATATCTTTCCACTTGTCCATGGTGACCGAGCGCACAAAACTGCAGATTGGGCAAAAGTGTTAAATTAAACACTGTCAGGCTGGATTCGAGCATCGGTAATGAATGGAAGGAATATGCTGTCTTCTTTGGCCTGTTCAGTTGCTGGTAAACACAGCTGCTACAATCATGGAACTTAATCACAAAACTTTTCCATGCATTCCCAACAGATTATTCACACTGGTGTCACACAGATACTTTAATAATCTGAGCATTACATTACATTAGCTGGCAAAATCTGTTGTGCATTCCACTGTTCTTACCTGAGATGTACTCCCAGGCCCCGGTGCTTGCCAGAACACTCAAGACAAATCCAAATGCCATACGTCACACTAACCCACTGAGGATTAAAAGCCCCACACTCAAAACACAGCTGAAAAGAAAACAACAGGTATTCAACAGTTAATTAATTTATGTATCATTATGCAAAAAAAATACATTGTAGTCTGACCCTGCATTGGTTTGGAAAATATTTACACACCATTTCACTGTAAGACACAAATGTTGCCAAATAATCAGGAAAACCTACATATCTCACTACTACAAACATTTTATACTGGAGGAGATTCTTGGGAGTAAATATTTATATTTTGTCCAAAGGCAAAAAGATGACTAATCTTCTATTAAAACCTATTTTCTTTACTTGAGTTGCAATGGGATGCTTTTTTCTTAGTATGTCATTTTAACTGGCACCAAGATATAAACATATTTCTCAGATACTTGCCAATTTCAACTGGCTGCCTGTTACACTCCGCATTGAATTTTAAAATTCAACTTATCCCTTTTAAAGCATTAAATGGCCTTGCTCCAAATCACATCAAGGGCTGAATAAGCACTGAAAAGCCTGAATGTTCACTTTAGATCAATGGATGGGGTTCTGCTAGTGACCATAGGTGACCACCTGACTGGACCTTTGTTGATGGATCACTCAAACTGTGGAATAAATCACACTACTGACATCAGACTGGCAACATCTTCAGTGTACTTTAAATCTGTTCTTTAAGAAAACAAAAAACAAAAAAAACATTTTTTAAGACAGCCTTTATGAACATTTGATGAGATGCTTATTATCCTGCTTTTGACATGTTATATATTTTTTGTATAAGCTTATTATATTTTCATCAGTTCTATTATCTGTTTCTTTTTTTAATTAATATTTTGTCATTCCTTTCTGTTTTTGTTAAGCAAATCGACTGTATATAACAGATGGATGGAGCCATAAACAAATTAAGCAAAGACAAAAGTATTCTTGTAGAGCAGAATGGTCTGGCTGAACCTCATTGTCATTCTCCTATGAGGGAAGCAACACTCTTGCTTGTTTGTATTTCTTTAAACCAATCACAATCACATTGGGCAGAGCTAAGCAAATGATGCAACTTTGGTGTACCCTTACAGTAGTGATATTGGAAATGTTGGATAGAACTTTTGCTTACATGTAGGTGATAATTATGATTAAAATGGCTAATTCACCAATATATATATATATATATATATATCAGGGCTGCCTTACTACACAAAGCTAAAGGTTTTAGTATGATAGGTTACTATTGTTGTTGTAGTGAAGGTGATTTTGAAAACACTGAGAGTAGAAAGGGAAGACACTACATGATCTGTAGCTTTGCTTTGAAAAATGCTACATACTATAAATAAAATGTATTATTATCATCTGAAAAATACAGAACAATAACATCATCAACAACATAATACATATTTTTGGGTAGGAGACATTACACTTGTCCTACTGCTACTGCCAAAGCTACAGGCTGACAAAATGTCCACTGGCAGTAAAATCCCCACCGAAAAATTACTCTTGCCATTTATTTGTGAAGTACAGTGAGAAAGTGTTACATTGCAAGCCTCCCAAACACCTGTTACCTTCTATGTGAAGAATGGTCTAATGAGGTGACATGAGTTTGACTAAGCAGTGAAAATAAGCCACGTGAAAAACCTGCCACGAGGACTTACATTATTCTCATCCTGGGTTCTCACTTCCTTCAGAACTCTTCTGGTCCTTGGACTCGCCATGATGACCCGCACTGAAAGACAATTGTTAAGGTACAACATTTTATTACTGAAAGATAATTAGTAAAATATGAATACAAACTGCTGGGAATTAATACTCCCCAACTCAGCTTCATGTTAGCAAGCGATAATGTCAACAAATTGAATAAAATGGCACCGATATCAAAGTGTTATTACACACTGAAATCACATATTCCTACTGGAGTGTCCTCTTAATTTATAGTGTATAACAGTGGTCAGTTTTAATTTGTGGATTTGAACCAATGTCTCTCCAAAGACTGGAAAGCAATAAGAGAAACTGTTGTACTGATGATGTAATCAAAAAGAGAACTGGACCCTCTCCACAGACAGCAGGCTTGTTTGAGATTAATTGTGCCTTGCCTGGAAAGTGGATGAGAGCAGGAGGCTGCAGCCAGGAGAAGTTACAAAAAGCTGCAGTAAAGCCTTTCCAGAATGATAAAGGAAGACAGCTAAATATTCATCACAACACAAGTTACTGCTGATAAATTGAAAAAGTTGCTATATGATAATCTATCAAACTTTTTTTTTTTTTAAACAGATAACTCTTGTCTACTGATGTGGATGCTCTGAGAGATAAGGCATCCAATATGTCATTGTATATAGTGATTGCAGCATTAATCACTTGTCATTATCACTCAACAGGAGGTTTTATGCCTATATTTAACATATATTATTTTAACAAATAAACTTCAGTTATTAAACTTGCCCAGAAACCAATTTGAGAGTAAATAAATTCCTCCAGCTGCCTCGATCTCATGAGGTGTCCATGGCACTGTGACACCTCTGCAAATCAGAAACCAGTCCCACAGACGTCTACTCAGCATGCACCAAGCGGCGATCAGCAATGAATCTTACTGCCTTCAAACCAACTTGGTGATTAATGGAGTAACTACCAGGATGATATGACATCAGTGATGGTGGTATGGCTGCCTAGTCACAACTATAATCTCTGCTCCATAAGCACAGATTTTACGAGTAAGATCAACAATAGCTCTGTCCCTGTAAACTACCGTTTTCAGCCATCATATGCTGCATTGCCTAAATCTGTGCTTTTCTTACTGTGACTGGTCAAAATGATTTTATCTACTTAAAATGATCAAGAGAAATTCCTAAAAACACCAACAGAGTCAAACATTACTTCAGTGTCACATGAAAAGTGTCACAGAAGTCATTGTCATATCAACATATTCTAGGACCATAATTGTTTGAAGTGGAGCTATCGAGTATGTCAAATAGTATTGGATAGTATTGCCCGACCAACACGTAAGCACGTATATAAATATAATACGTAATGAAATAACAAAGAGAAAAAGAGAAAAGAAGTCTATCTTCCTGTTTCAAAAGCCTGAAACGGGCAGTGTTATTGTTGCTGGATGAAAGTCTTTAAGATTAATCACTTTTAAAAACTCATTTTTTGTTGCTCTGATACCGATTTCACAATCCAAAAATTACTGGAACAGTCCAGTACAGAGTATAACTTCTGCAATTGTGGGCATTTTCGACTGAACAGTATGATTTTCACCGGCAAGTGTAATGTTTTCACAGAGAGGCACCCTTCAAAAATGCAGCAACACAGACAGCTGGAAAATATATCAGCAAATAAAAGTCTCATGTTCTAAAGAGTGGTCTTGCACAACTAAGACATTTGGATATTCTGTCAAAAACAAACTTCTCATTTGTCCTCAATAGCAAGGCAGCTGCTTAATCATGTTTTTTTAAATGTATAATTGTATGTTGTTGAGATTCTGTTCAAGCAAAACTTAAAAGCAAATAGCTGCAATTAAGTACAGTTAAGCTCCAAATCGTTCATACCCATTACAAATGTTGATTTATAGTTAACTGTTATTTGACCCAAGGTTTCTTCTGGCTAAAAACTGCATAAACAAGGGACAAAAGCCAGTATGACATTGTGATAGAAATGTTAACGACACTTTTCTAGTATTTCTATGTTTCCTTGTGGTGAAACTACTAATAGTTTTTCTTGGCAATCACAAGTAACAGCTTTATTGCCCACCAAAGCATGAAATGGTTAATTGCTCACAAGGTTTCTGCATATCTCCATTAAATTCTATTCCACAGATCTTTTGGGACAATTCGCAGATCTTTGCAGACGGAAGTTTATCTTGCCATCACTCTGGTCTTCAGTACCTCCACAGATTCTTGACGGGATTCACATCTGGACCCCTTCCAGTCAGCTCCAAAATACTCATATTGTCTTCTGTTAAGCTTTTTTTGACCACTTTAGCTGCATGCCCCCCCCCAATCACTGCCTTATTAAACAGTTTGATGCTGCCCAAGGCCAAGTTTTTCCGCCGACTGCCTGATGTTTTCCTCCAGAATATTCATGCAGTCTTCTCTTCCCATGATGTCGTTTACTTTGACAAAGTCACCTGATCCATAGACACATTCCCACCATGATGCTTGACCACAGCAATGGTGTTCCTGGGGTTTAATGTACTTCCTTTCCTCCTCCAAACTAAACCCACAACCCTGTGGCCAAATAACCTAATCTTCATCTCATTCACCCACAGAACTGATGACCAAATGCTTTCTTCTTTATCCAAGTTAGTTTTTACAAATGCTATGTGAGCTGTTGTGTGCCTGTCTTAGAGAAGTGGAGGTGGATATCTATGCAGAACAGCCTTGCACAATGTCTGCTGCAGTGTCTTATTGAGATGTTGATAACAGAACTACTCAGATTCATGAAGATTGTTTTGGGGGTGATCCTTGGATTTTTCTTGGCCTCTTGCAGAACCACTGGTACCAGCACATGGATCACTTTTGGCTTCCTACAATGACCTCTGAGATTCTTCACAGTGTAAAAGTCCTTGTACTTTTTGATTATGATTTGCACTGTGGCCACTTACACATGTCTTTACAGTTTTTCCCCATCTGAGTGACATATTATACCAGCAAGAGACTAAAAACTGACAAATACTGGTACAAATCACCAGGACCACTTGGAATGGTATAGAAACTTCTTGCATTCTCTCAAACAATTTCAAGGAATGCAAATGATTTTAGTAAAAAGAACAAATACAAATTGTAAAAATTCATTTCTAACACAATGCCTTTGTGTATTTTGTCACTTGTTCATGCATTTCCCAGCCAGAAGAAACCTATCCGTCAAACAAGAATTCACTATAACAAAAAATTTGGCATGAATAATTTGTGGGCGTCACTGTAATTATTAGCTACAATAACATGTCTGAATAGAGTATCGGGTCATGACGATTTTTGTCTTTAAGCGAAATTCAATCACTGTGATGTTTAAACAAACAGCCTCACAGAGCTCTGCTGTCGTGTCAACGGTCTGACAGAAAAAATAACACTACATATTTCCAACATCCGTTAACGTCTATTGTAAATGATATTGTTTTTTCTTTTCCGACGTTTTACTTCAAGTGATGATTAACGCGACTGTGTACGTGAACATAACTCGACTGTTAACGTGTCAGTGAAATGACATGATTACTGACGTTAGCTTTAGCCTGAGCTAACATTAGCTAACTGAGTCGTTACCTGACTGTATTTGATGAGCAACAAAGACGCTTTTAGTCCGGTCTGAAGGCTCCGAGGATAAACTCTACAGGGGCTCTGCTTCTGTCGCAGGGACACAGCAAGTGTCGGGCTGTCACACACTGTGTCAGGCTGACAGAAAAGGATTTAGAAGACTGCAGATGTTAAACGCCGTTAGCCATGTTCCTGTTTGCATACGTTGGCAGTGCAATGCATCATGGGACGCGGGTTCTTCTTCGCCGGTGTTTCGTTGGCGGCTGTGAAGCAGCTTTGAGGAGCATCACTGTCACCTGCAGGACTGGAGTTTGAGAGAGAAATATTTTTCTTTATTGGTGTTTCCTATCAGTTTATTTAGCATAATTTCAACAAGGAACATGGATGTTTCTTGTCAAAGTTAGACATAATGATGCACTTTTTTTTCTTAGATAACTCAAGAAACATTCTCCATCATTGGTTGTTTTCCCCATAGACACCATACAAACCCCTCAGCTACCTATCTTCTTATTGTTAGCAATTGTAAACCTCGATTGTCCCCAAACTTAACTGACATAATTGACGAAAATATTAATGATGATCAATTGCTCACCATGAAAAGACAGGTATATGAGGCCAAAAGTTTTTTCAGACAAAATGACGTGTTACTTTACCTCTATTATGTGAAACTGCTACTGATGAAATTTTCATCACATTTGGCATTTTACTGTGTAACACGTAATGCTTGTCTCATCAGAGCTTCATCAGGAGAAAATAAGAGTAGTAAAAATCAAGGTATATTTTTGAAAAGTTTAAAATGTGCAATTTTTAGATGTTGTATAAAAGTAATTCAAACTTCTTCAATTTATAAGTCATAAGCTTTAAATCTGATATCAGAAATGCATCTTGATATAGGGCTGTGATGAAAGACAGCTGGAGAAGAGAGAAGATAATTGTATGGAAACTAAGGGATTAAAGTACATTTCTTGCTTGAGGTGCTGCATTGTTAAATAACCACGTCTAGCACGCGGTCAGCCTCCTGCCATTAGCTGCTCTTATCTGATAAAAAAGAGGTATAAAGGGGATGTTGTTGCAGCTGGGGGAGCAACTGTCTAGTCGAGAGCTTTGCATCAACATGAGTGCGTCTACGAGTTTGAAGGTGCGCCTGCCGGCATTTGTGTTAGTCATGGAGGTCGTCATGATAATTCTTTATGCTATGTTTGTCACTTACGATGACAACGCCAATGCTAAGATGCAAAACAACGAGACCAACCCGATGGACAACTCCATGTATCGCGACTACCCCTACTTTGCTGACGTGCAGGTGATGATCTTCATTGGCTTCGGTTGCCTGCTGGCTTTCTTCCGATTCTACGGCTTCAGTGGGATGGTCTTCAACTTCCTTACAGCTGCATTCACGATCCAATGGGCAATCCTCATACAAGGTTTCTTCCAATTTTACTACAATGGCAAAATTCACATAGGGGTTATCAACCTGGTGAATGCAGAGTTTGCCTGTGCTGTGGTGCTTATCTCCTTCGGGGCTGTGCTTGGGAAAACAAGTCCAGTTCAACTCCTGGTCATGGCTTTGTTAGAGATCCCTATCTTTTCCGTGACAGAGTGGGGTGTGCTGAAATATATCAGGATCAATGACGCAGGTGGCTCTATTCTGATTCACCTGTTTGCCTGCTACTTTGGTCTAGGGGTGACATTTGTGCTGTATCGTCCAGGCCTGAAGGCTGGACATGCTAAAGAGACCACTAGTTACCATTCTGACATCCTGTCTGTAATGGGAACTCTTTTCCTCTGGGTTTTCTGGCCCTCATTCAACTCCGCTCTCACAATTAAAGGTGACGATCAACACAGAGCCGTGCTCCACACTTTTATAGGTCTGAGCTCATCCACTATCACCGCCTTTGCTCTCTCTGCAGTATTCAATAAGAGAGGGAAGTTCACAATGGCTGATATTCAGAATGTGACTCTGGCAGGCGGTGTGACTGTCGGTGCTTCTGTGGACATGATGATTTCTCCTGTAGCTGCATACGCTTTGGGCGTCATGGGCTGCACCGCCTGCTTCTTTGGTTACAGATACCTGACCCCCTTTTTGGCCCGACGCATGAGGATCCAGGACCAGTGTGGCATTCACAATCTCCACGGGCTCACTGGCCTCATATCATCCACAGCAGGGATCTGTGCCATCCTCCTAGCCACCGAGGAAACCTACGGGCCCAGTATGTATCAGATCTTTTCCCATCGAGCTCCGCCTGAGGGAGATCCGAAGCTGTTGGAGCTGCAGCAGCTGATACCTGGCCTGAAACCCGGCTTGGGCCGTACTGCACAGGAACAAGCTCTTTACCAGGTTGCAGCGATCTTCTCCACAATTGCAGCATCTGCAGCCGGTGGGGTACTCACTGGATTCATCATGAACATGTCTTTCATGGCATCGCCGTCTGACGAGGACTGTTTTGATGATGAGGTTTTCTTTGATATGCCCTCTGACTTTGACAGCGCAGAAGTGCTGAAGACCCCTGTGAACCCTGATGAAAAGGGACAAATGACTTGTGATGCTAAAGTCTGAGGTTTTGAAGCATTTTAGTGAGTCAGTTTTGATGTATATAAGATTTACACATTTTTAAATTATTAACATCACAAATTTTCCTTTCCCTTCTGGGATAAATAAAGTATTTTTCATTTCATTTCATTCCAATATTTAAACATGTTGATATTTTCACCTAAGTGTTGCTATGTTTGTGGCACAGGGAGAGTGATCATTATGAAGAGATAATAAATATCTGGGGACACTAAACAAATGCTGTTTACACTGTTTGTGTTTTGTTTTTATGTAAAATAGACAAATAAAAGTCTGTAATATGGCAGTTTGTAATATGTCATATTTCATACATTGCATCTGAAATAAAGAATTTTAGGAAGAGACCAATGCATCATGTTCATTTCTTATAACGTTCTCTGTAACACACTTTTTATGGAACATATTTAGCTCATATTCTCTGATTATTGATTAAAAACAATCCACAGCTTCATATTTTTTCATTTGTTTTATTTTAGATTAATACTAACTCAGTGCCTCCTTTTTATGGTATAAAAAGCTGTTTGCAGTTAGCCAGTGCATGTTGACCATACATCATCTCCTATGTGTTGCATATTTCATTATTGGGCTTTGCACGCATTAATCATTCACATTCAAATAAGCCAATAAAAAACTTTGAGTATAATGTTGGAAAAATGGAAGCAGAATAAAAGATAAACATGGCATCTTCAGTGGCATCATGCTTTTTAGTAATCTCAAGGATACAGCAGCACTATCTGGTGAATCGGACACTTTTTACAGTCAGTAGTGATCACTGCACTGATTAAACAATATTCACAAAGACAGCAGTGTAGGCTTGCAATCATTATACTGAATTCAAGTCAGTACAAAGGCAATTCCTTCTCATCATGTAAGCCAACTTCATAAACTCCTTTGTTGTTCCACAATTTAGTGGGCATTTATAAATACTATAACACATTTATACAAAAATTATCTGGTCTTTTGAAACTATTGTTGTCATTATATTTGACAGGGTGCAAAACACATCAGGTATGCCAGTTTATGTGTCTTCAGTGGTCTATGTCAGGGGTTGATTGCTTCCTCTCAATTTGTATAGCTTATGTGCCATTTCAACCTTTTTATGTCAAAAAAAAAAAGACAAAAACACTTAGACAGGTCATTCTCTTTTATGGCACTAAGATTGACAGAGATCACTTTTGTCTGGATGTTGCAGACCTTAGATCAAGGTGACCTGCAGAATATTATGAAATGACTATGAATCATAAGATAAGATCAGATAACCCTTTATTAATTCCACAGTGAGCAAATATGGTGCAAACATATTAAGGAATGAAGTATAATAATAAAAATACACCAAAAGATACACAAGTACTGGAATAAAGAATAATAATCAGGCTATATCAGAGAGTTAACAAGTCAAAAGCATGAAGAATATGACCAAATATTTGTAATGTTGGACGGTTTTGATGTGTGATGCAACAGAAACAGTCTGATTGGCGTACGGGAAGTGATACCCAGCTCTGTCATCTTCAATCTGCAGTAAACCTGTTAACCAGTAAACATCTGCCCATTGCCAAAAGTCTTATCAACAACATCAAAGCGATGCAGCCTCTTCTGTATGGGATTCTTTAATTAGCATGTTTATTAATTTACACAACTTTAGAGCAAAGTTAACACACAGTCATCTGTATTCAGGTTGATTTATTACCTTGCTTAACAACAGATTATTGGGTAAAATGATAAAACCGAGTCAATAAAAAAAGATTTCTTACATTTTCACGCTGTTAAAAAAAGATTACAAATTATCAGGGGGAGTTGGCTCATTCTGCTGTGATTGCTTGCATTTAAGTGCTTGCTATAGTTACAAAGGTTAACTATATCATCAGTGTCTTTTATTAACTGATAGGGTGAACAAAGTGTCTTATCTAATCATTGGCATTTTGAAAGCAATGTTCTGCAAAGTTTCTGTGTAAACTGCAATTTATCATACTCAACGTGCTGATGTCTGCTTTGATGGTGAGAGGATTCATTCTCTTCATGCCATGTGCTCAAGTGTATGTGGACATTTTTCTGTTTTAGCTTTTTCAAGAACACCATACTAGCGTCTACATGGATACTCCAAATCTTTATGTCTAATAAAAAGAGGGGCTTATATGACAAGTGAAGGGACATCATGACCTCTGGGCAAAGATTTCAGTGCAGATTCTATTCATTCTACTCAACTTTCTTTACATTGTTTCTCTCTCTCTTTTTTTTTTTTAGAACTCTGTATGTTGAACTTTGAGTGCTTTGAGTTAAATGCCAACATCAATCGGTTGACAAGCTCACTTTTTCTTTCTTTTTTTTTTTGGAATTTACCCTTTATTTAACCAGGTGAGTCCCACTGAGATTGCAATTGTACAGTTGCATACATCAAATATTTAACGCACATACATTATCAAACATACAGTAACAACTCGCAAAGGAAGGCCTAAACAGGAGGGATCCTAATCGGCTAAGAAGGAAAGCAGTTACATACTCCAGTGGAATCTGCCTCGATGCCCTTCACCACATTTTTAAAATCCCTAATCGGGATCAGCTCTTGTAGCTGTAGTTCAGCCTGCAAGTGATTCCAGGCTGCAGGGGCAGACAACATAAAAGCCTGTTTGCCAAGTTCAGTGTGAACCTTAGGGACAGTCAACAAAAGGATGCCATTTGAGCACAGATAATAATTACTGGTTTTAAATAAAACATACCCACAAAGGTAAGAGGGGAGCAGACCAAGGACGGATTTATAAATAAAATTATACCAATGTGTGAGTCTGTGCATGGTCAGGGAGGACCACTGAACTCTGACATATAGGGTGCAACGGTGAGTGAGAACTTTGCAGCCTGTGACAAACCTTCAAAGAGTCATGGTACACAGTGTGCAGGCAATGCAAGCATTAAGCAGGGGCATGCACATTTAGCAGATCACCATAGTCAAGTACAGTGAAGAACGTAGCCTCAACCAGGTTTTTCCTAGCAGCATAAGAAAAACAGGACTTATTTTTAAAATAGAAACCTAGCTTTAGCTTAAGCTTCTTTACAAGAAGGACCTCAACATGAGGTCCCAAAGTTAAACGTTCATCAATTAAAATACCTAAACACTTGTATTGTGTCACTAGTTCAATCCGACCACCCTGCAGGGTTTTAATGATAGGAAGAGAATCTGCTCTCTTCCTGGCATTGGAAAACAGTATCATTCCAGTTTTTGAGGCATTCAAGACAAGTTTTGTGATAATACTGACATACTGGTGTTAAAGGGGGCTGCAAGGTGGCTCACAACTAGAAGTACCCGGTTCAAGTCCTAGTTAGGACACCCGGGATCTTTCTGTGTGGAGTTTGCATGTTCTTCCCGTGCAGCGTGGATTCTCTCCGGGTTCTCCGGCTTCCTCCCACACAGTCCAGAAACATGTTGAGGTTAATTGGTGATTCTAAATTGTCCGTAGGTGTGAATGTGAGTGTGTCTGGTTGTCTGTCTCTAAGTGTAGCCCTGTGATAGACTGGTGACCTGTCCAGGGTGTCCCCTGCCTTCACCCTAAGTCAGCTGGGATAGACTCCAGCCCCCCATGACCCTAGTGAGGACTAAGCTGTGTGTAGATAATAGATGGATGGATGATATTTAAATGTTCCATATTGTGCTCCTTTCCAGCACATTAAAGGAAGTCTTGTATGTTCTCAGAATGTATCATATTTCAATTTTCTGCAAAAAAATACTGCAAGAATCATTCATTTTACCATGACAGTTCTAAACAAGCTGTTTCAGTGTTTGTAGTTTAAAATGTAGCTGAGCTCCTGCTGCCAGTGTCTGCTTCAGGAAGAAGACTATCTGTGTCTGTAATTGACTACATGGAGCAAAACAGTTGATCGCACAGCAGCCGATACAGACATGAATCAGTGTGAGACCAGGAATTACATCTAACTTTCTCCTGGAGAGATCATTTGACATTGAAAAAGAAACTATTTGTCAGACAACATTATTAAATCAGTAGTTTAACGGTGCAAAGCAGCTGCTTAGGATAATCGCTATGAGGTAAATGCCAGTTAATATTTGGTCCTAGCGGGTTGCATTTCAGTTTCTATTTCATACTTACACATTGTCAACAATGGAAAGAGAAAAATATGTACAGGCAACATGAAAATGCAGCAACCAATCCAATATCTCTTTATAGGTTTCAAATCAGTCTATAAGTTTCCACCATCTCTGAATGTCCCTCAGCTTTACAGTTCTTGACAGAACTCTGGTCTGTAGCCATATTAGCCACACAAAACACTTAAACAAAGGATTTTCTGATTCTTGCAGCGGCATTGCTGTCAAAAATAAAAGTAATTTGCAGAATATTCAGCTCCTCAGATGCTGGGAGTGCATGAAGACTTTGATGTTCACTGTTGCAACAAACTGCAAATAATTTGGTGAGTTTGCTTTAGGCTAAGATGTTTTAGAGTTAGCAGAAGCAGCTCTAGATGGTAAATAAACCTGGTGGACTGTGAGTTCTGGTGAATTAAAAGTAGCATACAAGTGGGAACACACCAACAAAGTGGCTGAGATTGTCTAAAAATACATGTTAAAATATTCTCAAAATTCTATCCAAGTAACAGTTTGACTATCGTAATGATTACGTTTGAATGCCTTAACTAAAGTGGCATTATCAGTCTTCATATGTCATAAGTAGCAGTGGTATTTCTGTCCGTTCTTCTTAACTTCTCACACAATACAGAGAGCAGGGAGAAAACCTGATTGTACACAGCTGATTATTGTCAGTGTACAATGTATTTCTTGTTGTGTTGGATGATCATTTTACAGCTGTACTAAGACTATCATTATTCATAATAAGCACTTCTTATCTGTCACATTTATTACTCTTTACACTGAGACCATAAATAAGGTTGTGTCATAAGTACAGGTCAACAACGTGAGTAATCTGTCTATGGTTAATGAAGTTTTGCAGAATTTACAACTGTAGCAAAGGAGAAAAATGTATATTTCT